AACAACAACAACAAAATGCCGCAGAAAGTCGTGCTGCGGCAATAATCATCGTTCCAAAGGAGGAGGAGGAGTAGCTGGAGATCGGGGCAGGATGCTCTTTTCTGACTCTATTTTGTCGGCGAACATGGATCTAGTGCACGGTGTTTCATGATTAAGTTCGTGACTAGATTTCATGCTCGTCTATTAAGTTGGGTCAGCACAACAGAACCACAAGAAGAGAGTTTCCTTAGCCCTAACCCTGGTCCGATCTCTAGGCGAGTAGCCAGCCCGTCTGAGTGGCCAATTAGCAGACGCATTAATTATGGGAAATACAACATATTCGCCTGATTGACCCGTGACCCACATAACGTACTGGTGGCACACGCCCCGCAGAATTATAACTCCCAAATGAGGGCGTATCCCCGGGAATCGTGCGAAGATATATATAAACAAAAAATGAAGGAAAAAAAGTCAATGGCCTGGCTTAAACCGCCCCTCTACCCACTGCCCTTCACTTCACCCACCCGCATGCTGGTGCTGCTGATGGAGTAGCCTTTGCTTAATCTGCCAAAATGCAGGAGTAACTGCAATAGTCCACGAATAAATGTGTGGAAAACTCGAAACCCGCGACAAGCCAAGCGGCCCACCAATTTATGGCCTGGTGACATGCGATTAAAAATCGAATAACACATGGAACTGCAATAGATTTCCGCGGCAAAACTCCAGAGCTGAGCTCAGCGTGTGAAAAACTCACCGGAGGGTTGTTTATTTGTTATTGCTGCTGCTGCTTGCTGGCAGTGGCGCCTGCGGGTAAGTAACGGCTTTACCCGCTCTGTTGTGACACCGGGAAAAAATCAACATGACAATAAATATATTGGTTTGGCTTGCACATAGATTTTGTATAGAAGATAACTGGTTCTTCGGAGTATCCTGAGAAGAATAGCTTGAGTTTATTTATAAAACTGATTTGATGTTCTGTATATTAGTATTTTGTAATCCCCAATTTGATGTTCCAATAGGGATACTCATTCATAAACTATAATTAAAGATAATAAAGAGTTATGTTTTTATTTTAGTCAGGAACTCGGGCTTTTTAGTTTTAATATCTACATTAATTTTACTACTTTAAGAAACGTTTATTTAGATTGGTGTCCAAGTAAAAATAGCTTATAGTTTCCTTGTTTTATGCAAACCATTCCCTTTTTTTTATTATTTTTATTATTTTAAAATTAATTTTCCTACTAATGAAAAACCTAAGGAAAAATGTTATTTTTTGCATTAACAAGTTTTATTCTAGGGACTTAAAATAGTAAATATTACTATTATAAAGTTACATTGAACATATCAAGTTAGTTTCTGTAATTCCAATGCCAAGTTTAGCCTAGAAAGAAGATATTTACCAAGATCATAAAGATATACAAGTTAATTTATAACCTGAGAATTTCAGTGTTCTTTAGCCTTAACGGATATTTGTTTATTAAGCTTTTACATCATTTTACTAACAATTTAAATATGGCAAAAAACGATTCTTGGGGTAAGCCTAGTTTTTTACTGTGCACTTATTGTTGCCAACGACAACAGACTGTTGCGTGGGCGTTTGAGTGTAACTGTAACACCTGCTGCTGCTGCCGCTATTAACACAACAATTCTCTGCTCTCTCTCCAATTTTAATTTCAGCTCTCGGCTCCGAAGGAATGAAGCCGGAACACAACCACCTTTCAACCCTGCGAGTAGAGCCATTGTTATTGCCGGTCGGAGGTACTGGCTGCTCCGCCTCCTACACGATCGCATTCGCATTTAGCTTCACGCTCATTTAAATGCCAACGCACCAGAGGAGTAGCAGGAAAGGAGGACAGTGCGGCGATCTAACAAAACATTTTCTGCTTGCCTATTTTGCATATTTTCTAAACGAATACCGCTGCTGCTGCTGCTGTTGTGCTGTTTTGTTGTAGGTACGCGCGAGAAACGGAGTGGAGTCCCCCCGGTACCCGCAAGAAGCGCATTCGATTGCAACGGCAGCTGCTAACGCTGACTTGGCTTTCCCTCCTGCACTGGTTTTTCACTTCCTCCCAATCCCAGAGCAAGCGGCCGCGCAATCAGGAACGACGACAAGAAGCCAGCCGAGAGCCGTCAAACGCCGCAACTAATTGATATAATAGTTAAAATAACAAACTAACGAGAAAGCAGCAGCAGCAGCGGCAGCGTTGGTGAAGTGCAAAACCTTTCCAATTTGAAAATAGCTTTTCCTGCTATGTGTGCTCGTTCCCACAAGCCAGCCGTCCACCGCCACCAAGTAATACTAGGCAACATGGCGCAACATCTCGGCTCAGAACAAGCACCAACATCAGCAGCAGCAACAATGCGAAGGAGATGGAGAAGCAGGAGCCAACGAGGAGGAGATCGGAGGGAACGGACGGAGAATGATGACAATGCAGCGATTAAAGCAAAGCAGAACTTGAACTCTACAACTCTACAGCAGCAGCATCGTCATCATTATTATTATCAGCATCATCATCATCATCCTCGGCGAGCAGGCATCAACAGCAAACTCAAGCGGCGGCAGCTGGAAAAATGTTTCTAGTCCCAAGCCAAGAGTCCCAATGCGCGGCATTTCCGCCAGCGGAGGATGCTGTGCTGCATCGATACCGGGAGGAACGGGGGAGAATTAATCACATTTATTGAATCTGAATAAAATGTATATTTATTAAAATGGATTTAGCTTTGTTGGCTAGGAAATAAGACTTGGAAATGTATTGAAGATTATTTAAATTTGTATTCTTGAAGACTTGCCACAAATTTCTTTTAAAGAAAATGTAAATTTTGTTGGAAAATCTTGAAGAATAAAATATAGTTCTTTTCTATATATTTTTTAAACTGGGTTTTGCTTTGTTGACTAGGAAAACACCACAAAAATATCTTGAAGATTATTAAATTTGTATTCTTAAAGACTCCACAATAGTCTTTTAACAGAAACTGTAAATTTTGTTTAAAAATTGAATTAAAGATAAAGATAAAGATAAGATATTAAAAAATGCTTATAAAATAAATGAATATAACAAAAAACAAAATAAATCTTGCTGTATTATTAATTTAAAAAAATTCTTTAAATAAGCATTAGTAAATGGGTGAAAAGTAAATATTTGAGCTGTTATATTTTTAACGGTTGATTGTCGATAACAAGGCTAGTGTTATACTTTTAAATTCCGCTTAACAACACTGTCGAAACAAACACAACTTCACCACAGTTGTGGTAAGTAAGCAATTCAAAATAAGCTACATTCAAAAATATATACTATAATTATTTAATATTAAGATTAATAGGCCTTAAGCATTTAAAAACGAAATATAAGTCATTAAATACTACATTTATAATTCATTTTATTTAATAAGAAATAACAAATGTGTTATAAAATAATGTAAGCTAAACAGTTTAATTTATTGTTTTAATTACAGTTTCCTTTGCTAATTAATTTCCGTTTGATAAATTATTAAATAAATTTTATAGTTGTCAAAGTAATAAATAAAAATTCAAAAAATGGAATAACCCCAAAATGGAAATTTAGTAATTAATTTTCTTTGCTAAATTCATTTATTTACCTCAAATAAATTATTAAATATATTACATAATATATAAATAAATTAAAATGTATAAAAAAAAATTCCATTTAATTTTGTATATCAAAATGGAACCCCAAAATATATGAATATTTTTATGACTTGTCTGTGTAAGTAAAAATAATAACTTTTTGAGGCGCCACAAGTGCGTTGGCAAACATAATTTGAATATTGTAGCAGCCAAGTGATAATTAGTGGTGCTTACTCATGAGTATGAATGAAAATTAACCATTGCGTGGGCTTCACGACTACAGTAAACCCACTCCCAAAGGCAAACATTAATTAAACACCAAAAGTGCAGTTGTTGACTTGGCTTTTTCCTTTCGCGCTCACTGAGCCACTGAGGCACTGAGCCACCGAAAAACCACCTGAAAGCGACGTAACAGGCGGGCAAACTATAAATTAAGTCGTAGCTGTGTCTTAACTCCGGTTTTAGTTACTCGTTTTGGACATAATATTTAAACTTTGCGAATAGCTTATATTTTTTATCTCTATTGTACACAGTTTTGTTTAATTTCGCGGCTGGGAAAGCAACTGCAAAGTCACGCAGCTCCAAAACTCGAACAAGTGTAACGATTAAGCTGACCATGAACTGCTTACGAGACTGCAACGGCGGCTTCTAGTGCCCACGACCTTCGCCTTAACTCCCTGTTGCCCGCTAATGAGGGTACACTGACCACCGACCGGCACTCCATCGAGTGTCTCCGAATTTGTGCCACTTTATTAGCGGCTTGGCCACCCACCACTAGCCCCTTTGGCGCCTCAATCGAATTATATTTATAGCACACACAGAGAGAAATTTATGCTAGAAATGTATTTTAGAAAATGTAAGGTTTCTTATTAAGAGTTTAGAAAATATTTAAAGATAGTAAGAAAATATTCTATATTTTGAAAGAAAATTAAATATATTTCTGGTAGATTTATAATTTAAAATCAATTTTCAGGACCAATAAATAAAACTTAAACCCATTTAAGACCCCTAAAATTAGGGTAGTTCTTGAAACCACTTAAAACACCTTAAATAAACAATAAATCAAATTCTATATCCCATTTTTCCCAGCGTGTATTTGCACCAAATCTGCCAAAAAAGTGTCTACCGCCTGGTCATTGTTATTATTTGTTGTTTTCGCTGCTCTTACTGTTCGTTTTCGACTTGGGTTTGCTGCTACTGTTGCTATTAACACGATTTTTTGAGCCATTTATGCTGCCGTCGGCCAACTTACACACAAACCGATCTCTACTAACCAACTACCGCATTTCCCCAAAGTAAAGCTCCAAGCTCCACCACAGAGCCAGCTTCAATTCAATTTTTGATTGCCAGTCGGCGCGAGCGGATCGGTTGTGCGGATCGGTCGGTGTCCATGCCCCCCTGTCCAATGTCCAGTTCCTGAAACCGAAGCACAAACATGTTGTGGATAATTGTTATGGCGGTGGTGCGGCTCCATTACCAGGCCAATGTGGTGGCAAATGTCACGGTGATTGAAGACATTAGGCTGGCCTTCCGCGGCGTCACCAATGACACGGAGCTGGTGAACCACATAATACCGGAAATGTATGCTGCCAGCATGCGCCTCAAGAATCCCTCCTTTGTCTTCAAAATGCCCACCGCCAGCGGTGGCTCCCACAACTACGAGCTGCTCACAATGCAGCGATCCGATTTTGCGGAACCGATCTTCCCCAATATCACCTCCACGTCCATTGATACGCCTTCGGCACCGGTTCCAGTTCCCATTCCCCCAGCAACAAGCGTAAAGACCAGTCTGGCTACGTCACCGCCGGCGGATTGGCAGGAAATGGGACTGGATGGCTGGGTGGGTGAGCTGCAGCCACCGGTACCCTGGCTGGAGCAGGACCACAAGTGAGTGGCTTCAAGCAAAATACTTTTAAAAACCAAATTAAAAACTCTCTCCCAGGGACACTCACCCGGCTATCAGCTGGCAGAACTCTTATCCCCGCGACGAAATACTCCTGGACATCAAGAACCATAACTTTGATGGACGAGTGAAGGACATCAGGGTGATAACATCTTCTACAACTGGCCGGCCGGCGGAAAAGGAGGACCTGATGAACGCCCAAAACGTGTACATAGCCCGAGTGAATGATCCCTTTGGTTACTCCATGAAATGGAGCTTCAACAATGACACAGCGGACCAGCAGGATCGTGGCAAGAGAGACGTGACCCGTCTGTACTCCATGATCAAGTGCTCCACCGGCTGTGATCCCTTGATCTACAAGGGCTACGGCTGCTACTGCGGCTTCGGAGGACATGGCGTGCCAGCCGATGGCATAGATAGATGTTGTCGCCTCCATGACAAGTGCTATGGCCAGAGCAACTGCATCTCCTATCTGGAATACTTTGTGCCCTATGTGTGGAAGTGCTATCGGGGCAAGCCACTGTGCGCGGTGGATCATGGCGAGTTCGGTGGCCCCGACTCCTGTGCGGCGCGTCTCTGCCAATGCGATCTGAGGCTATCGCGGTGCCTGAAGAAGTTCTACTGCCCCCAGCGACGGTCCATCTGTCACTCCTCCCGATCTCGACGCTTACAGAATCTTATATTCTTTGATTAATTAGTTTATTGTTAAATGGTAGGTCGTGAGTTGTGTTTAAATGTGTTTTTAGCTTGAATTAGTAAACGATTTAAATGTAAAAAATACTTCTTGAGATGATCTTGATGTCCTAATGATGCCTTTGACTCTTCCGGGAACCGCTCCTTGCCTTGCTACCGCTCGCCTTCTCCCGCTCCGTTCGGCTGCTGTTGTTCTGGTGATTCGTCGGCGTGGCCACTGAACTGGTGACCGAAGATGCCTCTGCCTGCTGGGCAAACTCCTTGATGGCCTGACAGTCCTGGACAAACAGACGCGCCGTCTTGTGCTGATTGGTGTGCGGCTTGTAGGCCACCAACACATTATGGGCCATCAGCAGGACATCGCGATGCAGCTCGCTTAGACTGCGTATAAAGCCCGAGTCTATGTTCCGTTTGATCGTGGTGAGATCCATGGGCCGCAGGCACAGATCTGCATGCCGCTGGGCATGCTCCTCGTGGAAGGGTCGGCGAAACGGCGCCGCATGCTTGCTCTCCTGCAGCGTGGCGTAGATTGAGAGGAAGAGCTTCTTGGTGGCCGCTCGCGTTTCCCGGCGATCATCGGTGTGCTCGCTGGAGGCGGGCGAGTTGGGTATGCTGTCTATGACCGGCGTGGAGGAGCATCGGCGACGTGTGCTCGATCTGGCTGTGGAATGATCGCTGGCCGTTGTCGTCTCATCGTCCACCATGGGACTCTCCGAACGATCCCGATGCGGTAGCTTGCGCAGCATAGGAGTACGTGTCGGCGCCGAGGGTGGCTGTGGTGTACTGGTCCCCTCGGGTTCTGTTTTGGTCTCATCCTGTGCTAGCTTGGAGATGGGTGGCTTCACCCTGGCACTACCTCGGGGCTGCTCCTCCGGCTTGCTGCTGTCCGTAAGGGATGAGGACTCCTCCTCGTCGGTGTCATGCAGGGAGCTGCTAGCCGCCGGCGCCGAAGCTGGTGTTGAGGGTGTGGCCACCTTTTCCTCCTCGACAGTTGAGGACTTCTCAGTTTCCTCTTTCTTGCCTTTGCCCTCAGCTTTCTCTGGCTCTTCCGCGGTTTCTGGTTCCCCAGTGGCCTCCTTATCTTTGCTTGGTTTGGCCAGCTTAATTACCTCTTCCTTGGGTTCTTCAGTCTTGGTGAGGGTTTCGCCCGGCGCTTCCTCCTCCACCTTGGCTGTAGGTGGACTCGCAGTATCCTCGCTGGATGTGCTGATGAGGGTGATGGTCTCGCCAATTTCCTCCACGGTCACCTCACTGGGCAGCGGCTCCTCGGACTCGGCTTCCTCAGTGCCTCTGGTGGATTCGCCTCCCGACTGACCGCGATCCTTGCTTTCCTGCGAGGCAACAGCTGCCAGGGGAATGTTGTCGTTGGAGTCATCGCTGGAACCGAGGACAACCTCCACGGACTTGGGCTTATCACTCGCCGTTGGCGAGGCTTTGTTCTCATCCCGCTTCAGTGCATCCAGTTTGTCCTCAAAGTCAATCACCTCGCCTTTATCGTTCGAGGGCGAGTTCACCACGTCCTCTACATCCTTGAGGATCTCATCATCGATGACGCTGGCCATGTCTATGTCGATATCATCGATTATTTCGTCAATGTTGGGAAACACTTCCAATAGCTCGTTGGGATCTGCCTCGTCGGAATCCACCGCGGCAGTTGTCCCAGAAGTCGCCTCGTCCACCAATGGCTGCTCCTGGCTGCCAGCTGGCGCCTCCGACTTTGCGGGCGTCGTCTTGTTCTTCTCCAGCAGCATTGACAGCGTGGGTGCCGACTGCGATGGACTGCGTTCCAGGGTGGGCGTGGTGGTAGCGAGAGCCTCAATGGCTGCCGGCGGGCCACTAATAGGCCGGGACATAAAAGCCGCGTCCGTGGAACTCATCAAGGTGATGGCCGGCTGGCTAGAAACAACAGCCGACGCCGTATTGCCGGCACTGGTCAGCAGGGAGGTAATGGTGGGCGCTGTTGCCCTGGCCACGCTGCCGGTGGCTGCTGTTGCGGCGGGTATTCCGGTGGGCGCATTGCCTGTGGGAGATTTCAGCAGGGATGTGAGTAGGGGCGAGGGTGCCGCAGCGGCCGGCTGCTTGTTCACACTGCTGGTGTTGCTGCTATTCATGTCCTCCACGTCCATGTCAACGGCGGTGGTGTCCGTGGGCTGGAGCGAGCGCCTGGCCGCCGGACTGCTGCTGCTGTTTCGCCAATTCCCCCCCGCCAGATCTTTCTTGCGCTGCTCCCGCTCTCGCATGCGATTCTCCAGCTTCATCTCCTCGATGCGGCGCGTCTCCTGCTCCTTCTCGATCTCCGCCCACATGTCCTGCAGCTCCTGCTCGGTCACGTCCGCGTCCGACTGCAAGGCGTCGATCTCGCGCTGGATGCGGCGATAGGTCTCCTGGTCGCTGCGCATCTGTGCCTTGATCTCCGCCAGACGCTCCTCGGTTAGCCGGCGCAGCAGCAGCTCCGTTGGCGTCTCCACGGTAGCCGGCGACGAGACGCCGGCGCTGCTCTCGCTGCTGCGCTTCTTCCGCTTGGTGGCCTCCACGCCCTCCAGCAAATTGCCATACTGGACGGCACAGTTCTTCTGCGAGTACCAATCCGCCGGCCGGTTGTTGATTCCACTCCCTCCATTCCCGTTGCCACAAACCGCCTTGAGCGTGCGGCTCACGGTGATCCAGTTCTGGTCGCCGCTGCAGGAGACGGCCGAGGCCAGGCAGAGCTGCTCCCGCTTGGTCCACGTGTCCAGCGGAGTGCGGCTCAGCTGCAGGCGCTCCTGGATTCCCGTTGACATTTTTATTGGAATTTTTTATTTATTTATTGTTTTACAGGGAGCAGCTAGAGGTGGGGCGGGATCAGTGTTGGAAAATAAACTGAAAATACGATATATTTTGATCTGGCACTTTTGGTCGCTGGGACCGAAACGTCTGGCAACTCTGGGAGCTGGGACCGAAAAGTCTGGCAGCTCTGGTAGCTGGCGCAGCAGCGTTGCCAGACTTTTGAGTCCCAGCTCCCAGAGTTGCCAGACTTTTGAGTCCCAGCGACCAAAAGTACCAGATCAAAATATATCGGTATTTTCAGTTTATTTTCCAACACTTTGAAATTCAGTGTGACCAAGAAGAAAATATCAAAAAATACCAAATAAAAATATCGCGATTTCGATATCATTTTCAGGAAAATATCGATGTTTCGATAACATCAATGCCAACATCGATGTTCTTCCACCTCTAGGAGAGCTCTACTTTAACAGAAATTCTGTTACTGCGATTCCATAGACAAAATTCTGTTAGCCTCATTTTAACAGAAAACTCTGTTAACAAATAATTGCTGTGAAATTCAGAGTGACCAAGGAGAAAATATCCAAAAATATCAAATAAAAAATAAAATATCGAGATTTCGATATTTGGCAAATAAATTTCACGATATCGATATATTGATTTTGTATCATCATCAACCCCACTTCTATATCGATATATCGATATATTAATATTTGATATATATATTCCGTCTGCCATCCCATCTCTTTTCGGCGAAAAACACGATGGTGCAAGGAGTGCGTATAAAAGATTTAGGCAAAAATCTAAAAATATCAGCGCGATCGCGTCCTGTTTATTTGCGAATCCTTGCTGGCCGCTCGCCCAGGATGTGCTTGGCCCGATGCTAATCAAAGCTCTTTCCGTTTGATTCCAGACGCTGTACACTTACCCCGAGAACTTCCGCGCGTACAAGGCGCTCATCGCGGCCCAGTACTCCGGCGCCCAGGTGAAGGTCGCCGACAACTTCAAGTTCGGCGAGACGAACAAGTCGGCCGACTTCCTGAAGAAGTTCCCTGGCGGCAAGGTGAGTAACGGTTTTGGGCGTGTGCCGCCGGCTGGCCATCTTGCCATGTCATCAACTGCTTTCGTGTGCTTTTCCAGGTGCCCGCCTTCGAGACCGCTGATGGCAAGACCCTGAGCGAGTCGAACGCCATCGCCTACTTGCTGGCCAACGAGCAGCTGCGCGGCGGCAAGTGCCCCTTCGTCCAGGCTCAGGTCCAGCAGTGGATCAGCTTCGCCGACAATGAGATCGTGCCGGCGTCGTGCGCCTGGGTGTTCCCCCTGCTGGGCATTCTGCCGCAGCAGAAGAACAGCACTGCCAAGCAGGAGGCCGAGGCTGTGCTGGAGCAGCTCAACCAGAAGCTGCTCAACTCCACCTTCCTGGCGGGCGAGCGCATCACCCTGGCCGACATCGTGGTGTTCAGCAGCCTGCTGCACCTGTACGAGTACGTCCTGGAGCCCAGTGCACGCAGCGCCTTCGGCAACGTGAACCGCTGGTTCGTCACCATCCTGAACCAGAAGCAGGTGCAGGCCGTCGTCAAGGACTACAAGCTGTGCGAGAAGGCCCTGGTCTTCGACCCCAAGAAGTACGCCGAGTTCCAGGCCAAGACCGGCGCCGCCAAGCCCCAGCAGCAGGCTCAGCAGAAGCAGGAGAAGAAGCCCAAGGAGAAGAAGGAACCGGCACCCAAGAAGGCTGCCGAGCCCGAGGAATTGGATGCCGCCGACGAGGCCCTGGCTGCCGAGCCCAAGTCCAAGGATCCCTTCGATGCCCTGCCAAAGGGCACGTTCAACTTTGATGACTTCAAGCGCGTCTACTCCAACGAGGATGAGGCCAAGTCCATTCCCTACTTCTTCGACAAGTTCGATGCCGAGAACTACTCGATCTGGTTCGGCGAGTACAAGTACAACGAGGAGCTGTCCAAGGTGTTCATGTCGTGCAATCTCATCACCGGCATGTTCCAGCGTCTGGACAAGATGCGCAAGGCTGCCTTCGCCTCCGTGTGCCTGTTCGGCGAGGACGGCAACAGCACCATCTCCGGCGTGTGGGTGTGGCGCGGACAGGATCTGGCCTTCACCCTGTCCCCCGACTGGCAGATCGACTACGAGGTCTATGACTGGAAGAAGCTCGATGCCAAGAGCGAGGAGACCAAGAAGCTGGTCACCCAGTACTTCTCGTGGGCCGGCGCCGACAAGGACGGCCGCAAGTTCAACCAGGGCAAGATCTTCAAGTAAACCAGCTCAACACGGCACACAGACCACTACAACAACAACAGCAGCAGTAACAATAAAAAAGTTTGAGATTGAAAAGCAGCTCTCACGATGCCTATTTCTTAAGTTCCAACTGATATCGTAAGATCCGATGTTCATCGTGCTGCGTCCTAATCCTCCCTTATATTTGCAACTCTGGAAATTGATATTGTCGACGGGACAGCCGCCTGCAGCCAGAAAATAATTTATACACAAAAAATAAACGGTTTTCTATTAATTAACGAGAGTTTTTTGAATTCTAAAAGTGGGAAATGGGAAAGATAAGACGGAAATAAACAAATATTTTGGCTTTTTCTAATAAAATGCTATCAATAATCGCTCTCAGATTATTTCTTTATTCATTATAATTCAAACATAATTAGTAAATTCAATGTTGTAGGCAACTTTATTGGCTTTTTATAGACTTAATCCATGAATATCATCAATTAATGCTTAACAATTATACAAGGGGGTGTCTGTGACAACAGAAATATATTTCGAAACAAGTTCAAAACCGTTTAAACTTTGTTCTAAAAGCAAAGGAGAAGCTCGAAGAAAGATTTGAATAAAAGGAAATGCTATATGTACCCGGGGCACATGGTCTTTACTTCTTGATCACGACGGGTCCCACGTTGTCGCCGGTCTGCTTGTTGTGCTCGGCATGGCTGCCATCGCAGTAGGGCCACTGGAAGAAAGGATCAAAGGATTAAGTATTAAATACTATATCACCACGGCACTCCACTCACGTTCTTGGTCTTCCAGCAGCGACAGAAGGCGGCCTTCTCTGCAATATCCTCCACATCGATCATGTCCACCACCTTGGGCTCGTGCTTCCGGATTTGGTTGTTGCAGCGTCCGCTGTTTTTGGCCTGGCACCGTTTCCTTGCCGCGGGACAAAAGGCCAGATAACTGGTGTACCCAATGCCGGCGACCACAAGGGTGGGCGGGATCAGGGCTAGGCAGTCCTTGACTGCAACAAAACAGAGAGGAGGAGGTGTATTTTAAGGCACAGAAAACTAGATCTCTCAAGCAGCCAGTCAGTGAGCCGAAACCGGCACAAGGTCGTTTCTCTATATAATACGTATATCGGGCGGGATTAGGTTATAAACGTACATAGATATACGTGTGTGCCAGTTTATCTATGTAGCCTCCGGTGCCCTATCTCACCTGGCCGATAAAAACTCGCGTCAATTAAAAATTTCTCTCGCGAGCTCAACAAAAGTTGCATAACCGTTGCAGGTTCGCTTTTACTTTCGTGGCGTTGCAAGTGCACGCATGAATATATTGCTAAAACAGGTAAATTGTGAAACCTGGCTAATAGAGGGGGCCAAAGCCAAGAGCCCTAGATGCTGCTGTGTCATTATCATTATCTATGGCGTTTCGCGGAGTGCCCTTTGAAGGCAATTCAAATTCCATTTCAGATACACGCGAGCTTGGTGGTGTGACTTACAGGAGAGCTTGAACCAGCCGCCGAAGCTGTCAGGAACCGGCAAACCCGACAAATAGTTGGGCAAAGTCGTCTTTACTAGCTGTGATATGGGCTCCATTCCGGAATTTTACTTGGTTTTTTGGTGGAGTTTATTTGATGTCCAATTGGAAAACCTGTTTTTGTTGTTGCTATCGGTTGGTGGTGGCAACAATTCGATATGCTTTATCGGTAGGAAATTTCACTGATTGAACGGCCACACTGAACTGGGAGTTAATTTTATTTATTTATTTTTTGTTATTTTAATCCAGTTTTTACGTTTAAAACATATCCTTTAAAATTATTCTATCCTATCTTTTAGTTACTAAAATTATAATAAACTTTAGTGGTTCGAAATTTTATAGGTTATTAAATAAGCAATTTAAAAACATTTTTTTAACTACTTTTTTTTTTAGATTAAATCAAACGAACATTGTCCTTGCCGCTTCCATTTTTGTAATATTTTCGAAATATTTTCATTAAACATAAACAGGTTTAATTAAAAAAAAAAAACTAAACCAAAAATAAAACTATTAGAATATTCTTTCTTACAGAATTTGGGCACTCGCTATAACCTTTTAGTAATTTTTATCATTTTTATTTTCCTTTGCACTAAAAACTTTAATTAAAAACTCGATTTCGCAGGTAAAAACTCGATTGCTCTCGCTATCGATTGCCCACGCCAAGCATCGATTAATCACTCCCATCCCTAGTCGACCGTACCAATATCCGCGCATAATTTTACAAAATTTATGATTTTTACTGTGAATAAACTATTGAAATTCGGTGTTTAATGGGTTTAATTAATGACTAAGCTTAACTTGTTTGACAAATGCCTGCTGTTAACTTTTCGATAAACCTGTGGATAGCCGTGAAAAAAAGTGAAAAGTGAAAAGAAGCAGCGAGTAGTGTGTGTGTGTGAGCGCTTGTATGCGTGACTGTGTGCGTTTCTTACGTTGCAAACAAAAAATTGTTAAAAAGAAATTTGCTTAGCGGCGACAGCGGCACTTCAAACCATTTTCTCTAGCCCCGCCAATGCGCAGCACTGTTGCTCCCCCAGAAATGTGAGTTCCTCTCCTCGATAAATTTTAGCCAATTTAGCCGAGACGAGAGCGACGGTGGCGGTGGCGACAGCGGCAGCAAGCCGTGCATAAATTAACGTCACAATTATAACTGTTTACCTTCATCGTTCAAATTCGTCGTCGAAGAGCTTTCGGGCACATCATCACACATCTCACATATGTATGTATGTACATCACGTATACATCACACACAGATTCAGCAGTTCATTTCCATGTGACCTTCATTTCCAGCAGCAGCAACAAAATCAATAGTAATAGTAGCACGTTCCCCTCCTTCGGTTTTCGTTGTTTTTTTTTTTACATAATTGGAAGCGGTAGCGGGTTCAAGTGCATATCTATTTAATTGGTAATTGAGCGTGGGATTTACAAGGGACACATACATTTGATGGCATCACATGGATCGCCAATGGGTCTCCGTTACGAAATTGACGGGTTCTACACACTTACCTTGTGGGCATTTATAATTTGGAGGTCCCGGAGGCTTCCCCTAATTGATTAGATCACATGCAGCGTAGAACAGCTGACCTGGGAGAGCTCTCTCGGCATTCCCAGGATGGGATGCCATGCCTCTTGTATCCCCGGGGGTATTACCAGTACTATCTCCTATGAATCACTTGCCAGGCCATAGATTAGTCAATGATTAGCAAGGGTGGCCGGACAGCCGCCTTATCAATTACGGCGATGACGAACCTGTTACCTATTACCCGTTGTGATTGTAGCAGTCACCTGGCATTGCTCCGACCGTTCGCTTGTCTCTCTCTCCCTCCAAGAACGATTGCCAACATGTCACTAAACGGTTTGGGAAACCCATGTGCTTTGCTTCCCTTGCAGGATAATGAAAGATGCACGAATATGACGTAAATGAGCGCAAAGAGGAACCTGCCAGTCTTCCACTGCCAAGCAGCGATACCAGTGACACCAGGAGCACCAGCAACAGCGAGGCTCCAATCAGTCAGCACGGTTTACAGAAACAAACTCAACAGGAGCAGCAGGAGGAGCGCGCCAACAGCTTATCCTTGTTTCCGGAAGTGATTGAGCTCACCGATTGCGTGGTGGGCCCCAACCCAGAGTTCGTCCACATCGGCGAACCGCAAAAGAAGCGACAGCGTCGCGTTTATGTCGCTAGCTCCACGCGCTGCGCCAGCCTACGATCCCAGAATAAGCCGCCACCACCACCACCAGCAGGTGAAGGTGAAGTAAAGCAGCAGACGCCGAGCCCGGTATCCTTGTTGCCAGCGCAGGCCGCTGCCTCGCCGACGCCGACAGAATTGCCTCTTGAGTACATCAAGCCAGGTAAGGGATTACGCCGATTTACTCGTATCTACAAATATATATTTTGATTAGCGTCGCAATCAGATTATATAATAACTTTTAAGGCCACGGAAACTGATTAAATTTTGTTGTTAATCGGTTAATTTTTCTACGAGAAATACAGAAATCCCTTAATAAGTTCCATTTCCTTTCTTTTTAGAACTTTTTAAACCGGAATTTTGGAACCGCATTGAGGAGCAGGAGCCTGAGGGCAAGCCCGCTGCCAAGAAGCGCCGCGGCGGCCCTGCTGGTGGACGCACTCGGACACGCCGAAATCAGATCCTTAACGACCTTGAAATCTATTCACCGGAAACGGCGGCTGCCATTGCTGCGGCACAGGCCGAACTCGACGCCCCAGGAAAGGCCAGAAGAGGCAGAGGCAGAGGCACCGGCACAGCCAGAGGCAGCCGGAGGAAGATAGACACCGCCGCAACAAGCCCAACAACAACCATGTCGTTGTACGATCGACGGTATCAAAGCACCACCGATGAACGGCGTGGGGTCGCCAACGGATATGGGGCAACGGGAAATAATGGACTGCGAACAGGCAATGCTGGCAATGGAGCCAGTGAGATGGGCGAGTCGCAGGAGCTGTCGCAGAGTAGCCATCAGTATTATGGATCCGCCGGCGGTAGCAATCCCACGGGAGCTGGCTCTGGGCTCAATGGCAGTGCGTCCGCTGCCCTCAATCATGCCCCCTCGATGGGCACGCTGTGCAACATTGGCAACACTTGCTACTTGAACTCTGTGGTCTATACGCTCCGCTTTGCCCCCCACTTTCTGCACAATTTGCACCACCTGATCCAAGATCTAACCGTGGTCCAACAGACCATTATGCGGCAACAGCAGGCCTCCAAGTCGGCATCACTGGGTCGCAATGTGAGTGTGGCGCAATTGGAGCATGCGCGCAGCTGGAGTAGCAAGGATCTGGTGGCCGGTGCGGATCAACAGCAGCAGCAGTACAGTGGACTGAATGGTGGGGGCAGTGGAGCCGTAAGCAGTGCCAGCAATGCCAATACCAGCTGCTCCGGCAAGCCCAGTCATCAGTCGGTGACGGAGAATCTCCACGAGCTGTACAACAATCTCCACGGCAACGAGATGGCCGACTCCACGGAGCCCTATCATGCCGACACGCTTCTGCATGCCATTCAGGATGTGAATGCCACCTTCGAGGGAAATCAGCAGCAAGATGCTCACGAGTTTCTCATGTGCGTGCTAAACTGCATCCGGGAGACGAACCAGTCGCTGATCAAGGCCATTGGCGAGTGTCCCGAGGTCATTGCAAATGGGTAAGTGGACTGTCTTTAAGGGAGAAACAAAGTCTGATTATTAGAGCTGGATATAAAATCGATTCTATAATCAATTCATCGATTTTTATATTTAAATTTTCTCATATTTTGCAGCTACATAGCCAATCCAGACGATGTAGACACGGGCGAGAGCCAGGATCGCACTGATTCCGCTGCCAGCGCGAGCAACAATGGATCGCTGACCACAACTAGTCACATAACCACAACCAAAACGTCATTCTTCTCACGGAAATCGAAGAGAAAAGACGAGGTCAAGTCATCCAAGGCGACGCGCATTCAGTCGCCCCTTAAGGACAAGGACAATAGTCCCACGGCCAATAGCCTGTTCTACCTGAACACAGTTGATCTCACCACGCCGCCGCCGCCAGCAGTGCCACAGCCCACAAAATACTCCAGCGACAACGATGACAACAACTCGGCCACGCTGCTCAAGGACAAAATGCGACTGGAGGAGCGGATACGGGAGCTGAATCTGAACTTCTTCAGCTCCGATTTCGAGGGCATTGTAGTGCTGACCACCAAGTGTCTTAGCTGCGAGACGGTGACGCGTCAGAAGCAGGGCATGCTCGATATCTCGGTGCCAGTGCCGATCTCCGGCTATGACAACGAGCTCCAGGACAAGCAGCCCAGCACGTACATCCAGAGCTCCTGCATGACCAAGGAATACTTCCGCGGCGAGAACAAGTACAGCTGCAATCAGTGCACCGGTTACACCGAGGCCATACGCTCCATCTCGTATGAGGTGCTGCCCCGGCTGCTGGTCATCCAGCTGAATCGCTTCTCTGGCGGCATGGAAAAGGTGAGTACGTATGTACCCACCACCTTTACGCTGCCGTGCTTCTGCGCCAAGTGCTGTGATCTCGCCGAGGGCCATAAGCTGCATGTCTACAAGCTGTATAGCGTCATAACCCACGTGGGAGCCACGCTGACGGTGGGCCATTACATAGCGTATACGTGCTTCCTGGACTTGGCCAGCGACTATGTGAATTGCCCCAAGGATCGCAGGAATACGATAATGACGGGCACCACCACACAAGCGATAGCTGCGGCAGCCGAAGCCGAGAATTCGGCTCCCAGCAGCACACCAGTGGCAGCCGCTGCCTCAGCCTTGGCCTCCTCCGGCAGCAATCTGATGAAGAAGATGAAGTTTGGACGGGGAAAGACCTCGAGCAGCGGGGACTTGAGCAAGAACCTGAAGCAGCTGAACGGGATTAGCAGCAAGAACATCACGAATGGCATCGGGAAGCTGAGCATGAACAACACGACCTGCCACGGCGTCCAGTGCTGTGCCATGCGGCTCTGCTGCAGCAACAGCAGCAACAGCAACTCGGCCAGCTGCAGTGACTTTAGCGAGGAATCCCTGCAGAATGGCAGTAATAGCAATCTCAGCTCGGGAGGATCCTATCCCACCGGCTACGGCAGCACTGGGCGGGGCGGCGTCAGGGCGAACTACGTCCACGGCGGACCCGATCCCATCTGGTACATGTGCGACGATGACAAGATCAAGGCCATGTCGCAGCGGGAGTTTGAGGAGCTGCTATCGCCCACGCGGAAGATCACGATAACGCCGTACTTGCTGTTCTACGCCCGATTCGATTTGCAGACGCCCGCCAAGCCGGGGACATCCTCAACAACGCCGCCGCCGCCGGCGCAGCCACCAGGCTCGACGCAGGGCTCCTCCTGGTCGAATGACAGCAGCAAAATTTGAGGTGTTCAGGCAAACACATATTTATCGGCAAATCTACGTTAGGTGTAAGGAAGTGGGATGTATACTTAGTAAGCAAAAGAAGAACAAGTCTGTTTGTTAAACAAATATGTAACGTCGTTTACCTACATGCATAATCTAACTATTAGTTACATCATTTTTCCACAGTTCAGTTGAAGTCTGTTGATCGATGCATTTGATTGATGATTTGCGCGTATATTTGTTGTAATAATTAACTAAGCTTCAAACGAAACACGAATTTAAAACGTTGAGAACGCGAGGAAAATGCTAAAAATGAGCAAAAGAACATTTAAAAGTGGTCTGGCAAAGGTCTATACGCTGCATTAAATTAAATGGCGAACAGAATAAAGAATTAAGCATTAAGTATAAATAAATTATTATTAAATAGTATGGAAATAATCAGCAAATAATTCTTCAAGGACACCCAGTCGTTCCCAGTTTTGTTTTAGGCGCAATTTGTAATAATAATCACAGCATCTAATAAAGTACAGTAAACTCTCTGGATACACTCAAAAATATAATATACCAAGTGTTGAATAGTCGTTAAAGAACTCATCATCACACGAAATACGAGAAATTTAGGTTCAACAACTCTGAGAATTGTTATGAAATTTGATTATTGCATAGTTTATAGGGGAGAACCCCGAGAAAAGGAACACAACCTTCATTGTAAAGTAATAATTGAAGCATAATAGTTAATAATAACATCTCTATAAATAATTGTAATAGCACACACACCCACTATTTACGCAATAACCCAGTGGATCAAACGAGAAATAAGCGAAACTAAATTTAATTTTTGCAAAATGGGCTCAGAAATGTGTTAAAATCAGGAAGAAAAAGTGTGTCACTTCAATGCTCTTGTTTTTATATCGTTTCCAAGTACGTTGACGAGCATTTTCCGATAGTTTCGTTGGGTCCACTGGAATTTCAAAGTTCTTTTTAGCCTTAGTTTTCTCTTACACTCTCCACATAGTTTTTAGTTCGTTTCGATTGTATTTTCCAAGAGCGCTGCATATAGTGATATTAATATTTACAGAGCATACAATGATTTCTTGTGTATAGTTTACGTTAATAAAAAAATAATAAAATTAACATTAAAGAGTAAAAAATAACACTAAGAAATAACACACAAATTGAATTACGTATGAAGTGTGGAATTACCATTACATTTATGTTTATTACTGGATTAGCATTATCAGAACATGCTTAACTAAATATACGAAATATACAACATATGCATATATTCACATATGTCTAAATCTATCGAATGTGGTTCAGTTTTGGGAGAAAAAGGGAACAGGCCAAAGGGTGGCCTCAATTTATTAGAAAGTAATTTTTAGTTTAAGGAACTTCAACTATGTTTTATATATGAAATCCCCGACAGATATGTTCATCGTTGATCCCAGAAATTTCCTAATAGAACTCCCGGATGGCGCTAGAGAAGTTTGCATAGTTTCGCTCATTCCATTGCACATTGGTCAGCATTATTTCCAGGGCCTGCTGGGAGGCCTGCTCCAGACCCTTGAAGGATTCCTTTGAGTTGGCCACAAAGTCATTGAACTCATTGTAGTCACTGCGGCGGAAGATCTGCTCGTATAAGGGTGGTAACAGGCGGGAAACTACCTTGGGAAGAGGATGGTAGCTGGAAAAGGATTATACATAATTTAAGTGTTAATTTACGAACTAAAAAATAAGATAAATAAATATTTTTACTTACAACTTGTAGATGGACTCCACATTGTCCATGAAATATTTTTTGGCCAGCAGAAAGCCCACTTCATTGGCAGCCACAGATGTAAAGACCCATGCCGAATCCTGCTTTCGTATGTCCCCCTCCGGATCGAAGGACATCTCCAAGAGGCGCTGCAGTAGCCAGACCTCCTGCGAGCAAGAGAGAGCATCCAAAATGGTCAGCTTCTCGCTGGCCACGTTTGCTTTCAAGTACCGCGACCACAGGAACTCCCAATCCTCATCACTGCCGTGTTCGATTGCAGTGCAATACACAATGTTGCGGATATCGATGGGCACGGGGTTATTCTCGTCGGGATTGGGCTCCGCCTGCCACTTGTGCAAGTAGTTTACTGCCCGCGGGACGCAATCCGAAACCTGGTAACCGCACGCCCAGGTCGCCACAGTGGTTTTCAGCAGGATCTGATCCTTTTGCTGGATCGAGCTGAAGGTGTCGTTGATGCCTTTGAGATCTTCGTAGATGGGTGTAATTAATTTCCTTATGTAGCGCTGTGGCAGAAGGATTATCAGATTAGAAATACTCCAAAAATATATCGGACTTACCTTAAAGGAGCCATAGTTGGCAGTCTGCCGGACAATGCGATTCAGCAGCTTAAGATTGTCCAAAGCCACTCTCCAAGGCAGCAGTTCCCGCTCTTGGTGAAGGTACTGGATCACTCCCAAAGCTGTCTCGTAATCCTGCTCCCCTGTCCAGCCGAAGTACAGGACATCGTCGATCAGTTGAGCTCTGTTGACCACATGGATGCTTTCGAAGTCCTTGCTGTTCAGGGTTTGAATAAGGAGCTTCCAGTTCTGGGCATCGTAGTTGACCTTGTAGGGCGCCGACAGCTTGGTGTTGAAGAGCACCCACTGGTCAGCTCCTGGCAGGTTTTCGATCCTCTTGGGCAGGCTCCGGCCTTCCTTGCTGCACTCTAACCAGTCCTCAGGCGACGTGTTGTTAAAGTCCAGCTTCGCCTGCGTGGTGTAGCTCAGTGGCACCCACCAGCATCCTCCATTTTGGGAACGGGACACCTCAGAGTTCAGCAGATAACGCTCCTGGGTGAGCTCCGCAGTCCCTGCTGCATAGTCACGGGTCACGTTGATCACAGGGTAGCTATCAGAGGACTAGATATTAAACATTCCTTTTAATAAATACAAATTTTAAGAAATCTCACCCCGTTTGCAGAGTCCACGAATTCATGATGGCTTTAATGTCGTAGTCCTTGGGCAGGGCACCATTCTTGTGTGCCGCCTGAGTGAGCGACTCCCAAAGGTTATCCTGCTCTGCATTCTTATACTTATACATCTGAAGGTAAGACTTTAGACCAGAGCGGAAGGACTCTTCCCCCAGGAACAAGTGCATCATGCGCAACACCGATGACCCCTTCTCGTACGCAATCGCATCAAAATTTTCGAAAATCTGCGAAACCAATTGAATGGGTCTCGAGATGGGATGACTGCTTTCCAGGGAGTCCTTTCGGAAAAGCGTCAGCAGATTAGACACCGACTCCTTGTCCAACGAATGCCACTCCGGGTGAACGTTTGCCACACCTAAAGTGGCCACATAGGTGGCGAATCCCTCATTAAGCCAAAGATCCGTCCACCACTTCATGGTGACCAAGTTTCCAAACCACTGATGGGCCAACTCGTGAGCCAACACTTCCGCCGTATGCTGCTTGTCGTCCAGCGCCGAGTGCTCTGGTGAGAATAGAAGAGCCGACTCCCTGTAGGTAACCAGTCCCCAGTTCTCCATGGCACCAGCAAAGAAATCGGGCACTGCAATCTGATCCATCTTCGGGAGTGGGAACTTGATCCCAAACAACTCTTCGTAAAACTGAAGAACTTTGGGCCCAAAGTCCGAGGCGTAATCACACTGATCGATGGCGTTGGGTCTAGCCCAAGTACGGAAGAGAGCTCCATTGGGTAGGGTCGAGGGTTTGTGGGAGAAATCATTTATGGAATAGGCCACCAGGTAAGTGGACATGGGCACTGATTCTTCGAATTCTGTCCACACGTAATCTGGGAGGGATTCACTGGAAGGAAGAGGTGTTTATATCATATTTAGGTATTGAGTAAGTAGGACTTACTGTGGATTTGTCTCCTTCACTGGCATGTTGCTGAGACTAGTGAACTTCTTGTGGTGTCCCAAAGTGACCACGAAGGGAGCCTTGTAGTTGGGTTCGTCGAAACAGGGAAAGGCCAGACGAGCTGAAGCTGGTTCGAATTGGGTGATGGTGATCCACCTTGTCTCATTTGCCACAGGATCTTCGTAAGAACTGCGGTAGTATCCCTCAAGTTGAGCCTTCAGATCGGCGGAAAAGGTCAGGCTTAGTTCGTAGATATTGCCGGCCAATAGTTCTTGACATGTATTTAGGATATAATAGTCATGGGCAGGATTGACCGCAGTGGAGGACACACAGTTATCTTTCTTCTCCCCACTGTTTACTTGGGTTAAGGTTGTCTGGGATTCATCGATGAGTAGTTCCTTCGAGTGCAGGGTTATATTCTTGGTGTTTTCCAAGACCTCTATTAAGATTTTCACAGTTCCATTGAAGCGAGACTCCTCTGGGTTGTCCGTAAGGGTCAAGATGCTCAACTGATATTTCTGGGGACGAAGGGCGGTGGGCAGGCGGTAGTGGTTGTAGGTGGAATCGCAGGTAGCTAAACCCGCGACTAAAGCCACCGAAAGTAACAAAAACCAATCCATGCTGTGATTCTGTAAATAAAATATTTTTTTTATTGTTATCTTAAAAATTATTTAAATAAATTTAGATTCAGAAAATTTGATTCATTAAAAATCCAACTGAATAAGACAAAGACTTTATGACAAACTCTTTATAAAACACGTTTTCTTGACCCAGTTTCTTGAGAACATGAATATTAAATAAATTTGGCGTAGGGTCAATGAGCTTAAGCGATTAGCATCTAGCTACACTTCTTGTAACAATCCAATACATGCATACAAAAGGTTACTTTAAAGATAATACCATGTATTATCAAATATATATTATTTAATAATATATACAGAATTTAAATATGAATTAAAGTCACATGTGGTTTCCCCTGAAATTCACAAAACAAATGTTATCAGTAGGACAATCGGTAATAAATAGCGTTAGTTCCCGGAACAATAATTCAATTCAATCAAAATTTTTATATTATATTTTAGAAAGCGCCAACCACGTCACTTAGTTGTTTAATATTTACACTTGCAAATGTGATTAATGTAACGTGGGAATTTAGAACACTTTTAGTCACTTAAAACTTGAATTTCTAATGAGGGTTTTTATTTTGTTATATAATTTATTTATTCTTTCGTTCATCACTTAGAATTTGTCGCTTAAAAAACTTGTATAAAATTATCAAGAAATAAGCGCGGGAAAATACACACCTCTGAGCTCAACGCGAGTCGAAGATCGAATGAGATGAGAGCTACGATCGGAACCTAATTTATTTGCTGGAAGCTGAGCAGAGCGTCGGAAATGAGAGACTAACTCGGAGAATTGAGAACCTTTTGATTTGATTAATGCCGGTTCAGCAGGCTTGAAATTAATAACAGAGTCAATGGGGCGTATGCGTAATATTAATTTACAAGGGGAAACCAGATGAATGAGTCTATCATTCTTTTTGAGATCCGTTGCAGTTACAGTAAGTCTAAAAATGTAGTGCCTACTTTTTGACAGATGCAATCATGATATATATTTAATTATATCTAGAGAACGTAGTAGCAAACCTAAGAAATCTAGATATTCACCGAATTAACCTATTTTATTAATCACGTAATTATGATTGGACTTAACCTCGTTAAGTTTGTGCTGAATGGCTTCGAAGAACTGTTGGTAATTTCGTTCCTGCCACTGCACACTGACCAACATATCCTCCTTAGTCTGCTGGACTAACTGCTTAGTGCCCTTCAGGTACTGCCATGAGTTGTCCAGAAAGTCTTTGAACACAATGTATTCCCTCGTGGTGTTGACCTTTTTGGAGAGCGATGGCCAAAGTTTTGCTAAAGTAGTGGTCACTGGGTAGAAGCTAAGGAGGAAATAGATAAATATTGTATATGTACATATATGCGACTCACCCTTAACTAAATAAGAGCACTTACTCATCGTAGATGTGATCCAGATTCTCCATGAAGTACATTTTGTCCAAATGCAATCCTATTTGATTGGCGGCCACCGAATCAAAAGTCGAGGGATCATCCTGAATTCGAATGTCGCCGGTTGGATCCAAGCTCCCTTCAAGCTGTAGTTGCAGTAGCCACCACACTTTATGCGAACAGGTCAAGGCATTAAAAATGGTTTCCTCTTCGGCGGCCACATTCGATTTTAAGTACCGCGTCCACAGGAACTGCCAATCCTCGTCGCAGCCGTGCTTAACTGAGGTGCAGTAAACAATGCCTCGAACCTCAATGGGCACTGGGTTAGTCTCGTCAGGATTGGCCACTGATCTCCACTCCCGAAAGTAGTCCTTAGACCTGGACACACAGTCGGAGACTTGGTAGATGCAAGCAAAGGCTACCGTCTCTGCTTTCAGCTGTATTAAGTCCTTGGACTGGATGGATCCGAAGGTGTCGTTGATTCCATTGAGTTCTTCGTAGAGCGGGGCGATCAGCTTGTTTATGTAGCGCTGCGGATGGGAGGTTATGGTAGAGAATACTCATTAAATTTGCACCAAGACTACCTTGAAATAAGCAAAGTTTGGAGTCCTTCTAACAAGTCGACTCAAAATCGTTAGCTTTTGGAAGGCTGCTCTCCAAGGAAGCAGCTCCCGCTCCCGGTGAAGGTACTCCATCACTCCCAGTGCTGTCTCGTAGTTCTGCTCTCCTGTCCATGCAAAGGAGAAGACATCGTCGATCAGTTGAGCTCTGTTGACAACATGGATGCTTTCGAAGTCCTCGCTGTTCAGGGTTTGAATAAGGAGCTTCCAGTTCTGGGCATCGTAGTTGACCTTGTAGGGCGCCGACAACTTCGTGTTGAAGATCACCCACTGGTCCGCTCCTGGCAGGTTTTCGATCCTCTTGGGCAGGCTCCGGCCTTTCTGGCTGCACTCTAACCAGTCCTCAGGCAACGTATTGTTGAAGTCCAGCTCCGACTGTGTGGTGTAGCTCAGTGGCACCCACCAGCATCCTCCATTATGGGAAAGGGACAACTCAGGATTTAGGAGGAAGCGCTCCTGGGTGAGTTCAGCAGTCCCTGCTGCATAATCACGGGTCACTTTGATCACGGGGTAGCTGTCAGAGCAAAAGATACACAACATTTTTAAATATTATTTTAAGGACTCACCCCGTTTGCAGGGTCCACGAATCCATGATGGTCTTGACATCGTAGTTCTTGGGTAGAGCGTCATTCTCGTGTGCCGCCTGAGTGAGGGACTCCCAGAGGTTATCCTGCTCCGCATTCTTATACTTATACCTCCGAAGGTAGGTCTTAAGACCCGACCGAAAGGTCTCCTCTCCCAAGAACAAGTGCATCATCCGTATCACCGAGGATCCCTTCTTATACGAAATATCATCGAAGTTTTCGTTAATTTCCTTGACCGTTTGAATGGGCCTCGAGATAGGATGACTGCTTTCCATGGCATCTCTTTGAAAAATGGTGTACAGGTTTTCAAATGAGTCCATTTTCAAGAAGTCCCATTCCGGATGGATGTGAGCTACGCCAAGACTGGCAACATATGTGGCAAATCCCTCGTTCAGCCAAAGATCCGTCCACCACTTCATAGTGACTAAGTTGCCGAACCACTGATGGGCGAACTCGTGAGCCAACGCTTTCGCTGCATACTGTTTATTGCTTAGCGCCGAGTGCTTTGGTGAGAATAAAAGAGCCGACTCCCTGTAGGTAACCAGTCCCCAGTTCTCCATGGCACCAGCAAAGAAATCGGCCACTGCAATCTGATCCATCTTCGGAAGTGGGAACTTGATCCCAAACAACTCTTCGTAAAACTGAAGAACTTTGGGTCCAAACTCCGAGGCGTAATCACACTGATCGATGGCATTGGGTCGGGCCCAAGTGCGGAAGGGAACTCCATTGGGTAGGGTCGAGGGTTTGTGGGAGAAATCATTTATGGAATAGGCCACCAGGTAAGTCGACATGGGCACTGATTCTTCGAATTCTGTCCACACGTAATCTGGGAGGGATTTACTGGAAGGAAGAGGTGTTTATATGATATTTAGGTATTGAGTAAGTAGGACTTACTGTGGCTTTGTCTCCTTCACTGGCATGTTGCTGAGACTAGTGAATTTCTTGTGGTGTCCCAAAGTGACCACGAAGGGAGCCTTGTAGTTGGGTTCATCGAAGCAGGGAAAGGCCAGACGAGCTGAAGCTGGTTCGAATTGGGTGATGGTGATCCACCTTGTCTCATTTGCCACAGGATCTTCATAAAAACTGCGGTAGTATCCCTCAAGTTGAGCCTTCAGATCGGCGGAAAAGTACAGATTCAGTTCGTAGATATTGCCAGGCAATAGTTCTTGACATGTGTTTAGGATATAATAGTCATGGGCAGGATTGACCGCAGTGGAGGACACACAGTTATCCTGTTTCTCGCCACTGTTGACTTGGGTTAAGGTTGTCTGGGATTCATCGATGAGTAATTCCTTCGAGTGCAGGGTTATATTCTTGGTGTTCTCCAGGACCTCTATTAGGATTTTAACAGTTCCATTGAAGCGAGACTCCTTTGGGTTGTCCATAAGGGTCAAGATGCTCAACTGATATTTCTGGGGACGAAGGGCGGTGGGCAGGCGATAGTGGTTGTAGGTGGAATCGCAGGTGGCTAAACCCGCGGCTAGAGCCACCACAAATAAGATAAACCACTTCATGCTGCAATTCAGTAAATAAGATACCATATACTATTTATTGTTACCTAATAATTATAATTAATTAAATAAATGTAGGTACTCTGAACGTAATTCATTAAAAATCTAATATAATAACACTAATTCCGAATTTCAAATTCTTTATAAAACACATTTTCTCCACCCATTTTTTTTTATGAACATAAACATAAACATGGTTTCCCCTGAAATTCACATAACAAATGTTATCAGGAGGGCATAGGTAATAAATTTCGCAATTATTCAATTCAATCGAAATATATATATTTTATTTGACGCCACACGTCACTTAGTTGTTTAATGTTTACATTTGCAAATTTGAATAATGTAAGCTGCATCAGCTCTTAACATTGGAATTCAGGCCACTTTTAGTCACTTGAAACTTTACTTTTTAAGGAATGTTTTTTTTTTTTGGTTCTTTAATTCAACACTTAAAAAACTTAAAAAAAACATCAAGAAATCCTAGAGACAAAATCCGCACCTCTGAGCTCAACGCGAGTCGAAGATCGAGTGAGATGAGAGCTACGATCGGAACTTAATATATTAGCTGGAAGATTCAGGAATGAGAGACAAACTCGGAGAATCTTTCGATTTGATTAATGCCTAATGGCATTAATCTTGAGTAAATCCGATGAAGATGTTCATGATTTCTTGAGATTTGTCGCAGATACAGTAAATACAAATGTAGTGCCTACTTTTTGGCTGCTGTGTTCATGTTATGGGCCTTTCCACAAAAGAAACAGTATAAGTTCTCTAAAGAAATGTTCTTATTAATCAGATTTTACAGAATCTAGCATATTCTAAAACAGATATCAAAATATTCGAATGCAATATGTATAGGAAAAGAAGAAAGTCAGAAAGAAAGATAATGAGACAGAGAGCTCTATCTCTAAAATTATTTAATAGTAACCATTGATTTAGTTATATTGAAAATAAAAACTTATAATATCAATTTATTTGGAATATTTTATTTTTCATCGACCTCGTTAAGTTTCTGTCGAATGGCTCGGAAGAACTGTTGGTAGTTTCGCTCCTGCCACTGCACACTGATCAGCATATTCTCCTTAGTCTGCTGGACTGCCTGCTTAATGTCCTTCAGGTATTCCCAGGAGCTGTCCAAAAAGTCCTTGAACTCATTGTAGTCCTGCCTGGTGTTGACCTTGTCGGAGAGCGATGGCAAAAGCTGTGCTAAGGAAGCGGTCACAGGATAGAAGCTGAGGAGAAAGTATATAAATATTTACCACATAACTGAATAGAATCACTTACTACTTGTAAATGTGATCCAGGTTCTCCACTAAGTACTTCTTGGCCAGCAGCCATCCTTCTCCGTTGGCGGCCACCGAATCGAAAGTCGCCGCAGCATCCTGCATCCGAATGTCGCCCTTTGGATCGAAGATCATATCCAGCTGCCGCTGCAGAAGCCTTTCATTCTGCGTACAGGTCAAGGAAAGCAAAATGGTATCCCTATCGGCGGCCACATTCGTTTTCAAGTACCGCGTCCACAGGAACTCCCAATCCTCGTCGCTGCCATGCTTAATTGCGGTGCAGTAAACGGTTCCTCGAACCTCAATGGGCACGGGGTTAGTCTCGTCAGGATTAGCCACTGATCTCCATTCCCGAAAGTAGTCCTTGGATCTGGACACACAGTCGGAGACTTGGGTCATGCAAGCAAAGTCTACCAACTCCGTTTTTAGCAGTAAAACATTCTGGGATTGGATGGATCCGAAGGTGTCGTTGATTCCATTGAGTTCTTGGTAGAGCGGGGCGATCAGCTTGTTTATGTAGCGCTGCGGATGGGGGACTATAGTAGAGAATACTCATTAAATATTGCACCAAGGCTACCTTGTAATAACCAAAGTTTGGAGTCCTTCGAACAAGACGTCTAAGAGTCGTTAGCTTTTCAAAGGCTGCTCTCAAAGGTAGCAGCTCCCGCTCCCGGTGAAGGTACTCCATCACTCCCAGTGCTGTCTCGTAGTCCTGCTCCCCGGTCCAGGCTAGTGAGAAGACATCTTCAATCAGTTGAGCTCTGTTGACCACGTGGATGCTTTCGAAGTGCTCGCTGTTCAGGGTCTCAATTAGAAGCTTCCAGTTTTGGGAATCGTAGTTGACCTTATAGGGCGCCGACAACTTCGTGTTGAAGATCACCCACTGGTCAGCTCCTGGTAAGTTGTTGATCGTTTTGGGCTGACTCCGGCCTTCCTTGCTGCACTCTAACCAGTCCTCAGGCGACGTGTTGTTAAAGTCCAGCTTCGCCTGCGTGGTGTAGCTCAGTGGCACCCACCAGCATCCTTCATGATGGGAACGGGACACATCGGAGTTGAGAAGATAACGCGCCTGGGTGAGCTCCGCAGTCCCCGATGCATAGTCACGGGTCACGTTGATCACAGGGTAGCTATCAGAGAAAAAGATACACACAACATTTCCAATTACGATTTTAAGGACTCACCCCGTTTGCAGTGTCCACGAATCCATGATGGTCTTGACCTCGTAGTTCTTGGGTAGAGCGTCATTCTCGTGTGCCGCCTGAGTGAGCGACTCCCAGAGGTTATCCTGCTCCGCATTCTTATACTTATACCTCCGAAGGTAGGTCTTAAGACCCGACCGAAAGGTCTCATCTCCCAAGAACAAGTGCATCATCCGTATCACCGAGGATCCCTTCTCATATGAAATATCATCAAAGTTTTCGTTAATCTCCTTTACCGTTTGAATGGGCCTCGAGATGGGATGACTGCTTTCCATGGCATCCCTTTGAAAAATGGTGTGCAGGTTTTGAAAGAAGTCCATTTCTAAGTAGTCCAATTCCGGATGGATTTGAGCTACGCCAAGACTGGCCACATAGGTGGCGAATCCCTCGTTAAGCCAAAGATCGGTCCACCACTTCATAGTGACTAAGTTGCCGAACCACTGATGGGCCAACTCGTGAGCCACAGCACCTGCAACATTCATTTTGCTATTCAGTGAGGAGTGAGTCTCAGAGACAAGGAGAGTGGTTTCCGAGTAAACCACAAGACCCCAGTTCTCCATGGCACCGTATTCAAAATCGGGCACGGCGAACTGATCGATCTTTGGGAGTGGGAACTTGATCCCAAACAACTCTTCGTAATATTGGAGGACTTTGGGTCCAAACTCTGCGGTGTAATCACACTGATCGATGGCATTGGGTCGGGCCCAAGTGCGGAAGGGAACTCCATTGGGTAGGGTTGAGGGTTTGTGGGAGAAATCATTTATGGAATAGGCCACCAGGTAAGTGGACATGGGCACTGACTCTTCGAATTCAGTCCACACGTAATCTGTGAGGGATTCACTGGGAGGAAATGTTTTAATAATGAGACAATCATTACTTAGGTACTGAGACGTAATACTTACTGTGGCTTTGTCTCCTTCACTGGCATGTTGCTGAGACTAGTGAACTTTTTGTGGTGTCCCAAAGTGACCACGAAGGGAGCCTTGTAGTTGGGTTCATCGAAGCAGGGAAAGGCCAGACGAGCTGAAGCTGGTTCGAATTGGGTGATGGTGATCCACCTTGTCTCATTTGCCACAGCATCTTCGTAAGAACTGCGGTAGTACCCCTCAAGTTGAGTCTTCAGATCGGCGGAAAAGTACAGATTCAGTTCGTAAATATTGCCAGGCAATAGTTCTTGACATGTGTTTAGGATATAATAGTCATGGGCAGGATTGACCGCAGTGGAGGACACACAGTTATCCTTCTTCTCGCCACTGTTGACATGGGTTAAGGTTGTCTGGGATTCATCGATGATTAAATCCTTTGAGTGTAGAGTTATATTCTTGGTGTTATCCAAGACCTCTATTAAGATTTTGACAGTTCCATTGAAACGAGACTCCTCTGGGTTGTCCAGTAGCGTTAAGATGTTCAAGTGATACTTCTGGGGTCGCAGAGCCGCCGGCAAGCGATAGTAGTTATAGTTTAAATCAGAGCTAGTCGTGGCAAAGCCCAAAAATAGGATTAAAGCGAAAAGCAGAACCCAATTCATGATTCTGTTAATTAGATTAATGTTAAAAATATTTAAATATATGTTACTAAGTGGAATTTATTAAGTTTTAATTTGTTGCTAATCTCTTATCTACATACTTTTCTTTTATTTATTAAATTTTTATAATCGTAAACAAGCACACAAACAATCACTAGGAATCAGCGGTAATCGTTGAAATTATACCTCTAAACACTTAGAAAGCCGGAGATTGAATGGGCCTCGTTTTGTGGTTGTTCGGAACTATATACTTTCCGATTGCTAGGTTTCAGAGAGCGGCAAAAACCGGTGTCTGACTGATAGCACTGGGTGTCTATTTTTTTTTTTGTTATGAACCATAAAATATGACATCATGAAATTGTAATTCTTTTTTGTTGCCCTTAGATCATATTCTTAACCTTATAATCATTTTTTTCGAGGAGCTTAACTCGCCATTAATTAGAGCACCGTAAGCATAAATATTTTTAATTTATTTAAGGAACTTCAAGTAACAAATATGTTTTATTTTCCACAGCAGACGGCAATGTCTGGTTCCTACAGGAACTTCCTGATGGCGCTGTTGAACTTGGCATAGTTTCGCTCCTTCCACTGCACTGTGATGCGCATTTTCTCCAGGGTCTGCTGGACTGTCTCCTCAATGCCCTTCAGCCAAGGCCGCGCTCTGCTGACAAAGTCCTCGAACTCACGGAACTCCTTGGGGTCAATAATTTGCGTTGACAGCGGTGTCAGCAGCCTTAACATGCTCCTGACAGTAGGTTGATAGCTGGGAGAAAGGGTTAATACTTGAAAACGAATCTCTAAGTAGTGTTTAATACTTACAACTTGTAGATGAGCTCCACGTTGTGCATGAAGTACTGCTTGGCCAGCTGGAATCCTATTTCGTTGTCGGCCACCGCATTAAAGCTGGTCATCGAGTCCTGCCTGCGAATCGCGCTCTTGGGATCGAAGCTCAGATCCAGCATCCGGCGCAAAAGCCACACTGCCCGCGTGCAGCCCAGCGAGTTCAGCATGTCCACCTTTTCGTCCGCCTCATTGGATCTCTTGTATCGCGTCCACAGGAACTCCCAATCCTCGTCCAATCCGTGCCTGATAGCCGTGCAATACACAATGCTGCGCAGATTGACGGGCACTGGGTTATTCTTGTCGGGGTTTGGCTCCGTCCTCCACTCACGGAAATAGTTCAGTGCACGAGGGATACAATCCTCCACCTGGTACTGACACGCCATGCTCACAATGCTGATCTTCAGCGCGATTCCATCCTGGTGCTGTATGTAGGCGAATGTGTCGTTGATGCCGTTCACATAATGGTAGATCGGTGGGAGCAGCTTCTTTATGTAGCGCTGAGGGTGGAAATTTTCAGTGAAGGATTCCAAGATCATCCAATAGACAAAACCTACCTTGAGTAAGCCCCCTTGTGCTGTCCTCCGAACTATGCGATTTATAAGCCTTATGTTGCTGAAAGCCGCTTTCCAAGGTAGCAACTCCCGCTCCCGGGGAAGGTACGCCACCACTTTCAGTGCGGTCTCGTAGTCCTGATCTCCTGTCCAGGCGAAGCTCAGGACATCGTTGATTAGCTGGGCCCGATTGATTAAGTGGATGCTCTCGTAACGACCGGTGGTCAAAGTGTTGATGAGCAGCTTCCAGTTCTGGGCATCGTAGTTGATCTTGCAGGGCGTCGCCACCTGGGTGTTCAAGATCACCCACTGGTCGGCTCTCGGCAGGTTCTCGATCTTCTTGGGCTGGCTCAGGCCTTCCTTGCTGCACTCTAACCAGTCCCTGGGCGACATGTTGTTGAAGTCCAGCTCAGACTGTGTGGTGTAGCTCAGGGGCACCCACCAGCAGGATTTATATTTGGAACGCGGTACCTCGGAGTTGCGGAGGTAGCGCTCCTGGGTGAGCTCCGCATTGCCTTCTGCATAGTTACGGATGACGTTGACCACGGGGTAGCTGTGAGAGCACTAGTTATTCATTAAAATTCCTAACCAAGCACCCACCTTACCCCGTTTGCAGAGTCCAGGTGTCCATGATGGTCTTGACACTGAAGTTTCTAGGCAAAGCGCCACTCTCGTGTGCCGCCTGGGTGAGCGTCTCCCAGAGGTTGTCCTGCTCTGCATTCGAATACTCAAACATCTCAAGGTAGGTCTTCAGACCGGCGCGGAAGGCCTCGTCTCCCAGGAACAAGTGCATCATCCGTATCACCGAGGATCCCTTTTTGTAGGAGATCACATTAAAGCTCTGCACGATCTGCGATGCCATTTGAATCGGCCTGGAGATGGGGTTACTGGTCTCCAAAGAATCCTGACGGAAAGTCTCCCATATGTCTCCCACCGATTGTCTCTCCTTGATGCCTCCCTCCGGGTTGATGTGGTGCACGCTCATGGTGGCCAAATAGGTGGCGAATCCCTCGTTAAGCCACAGATCCGTCCACCATTTCATGGTGACCAAGTTGCCGAACCACTGATGGGCCAACTCATGGGCCACCACACTGGCCACGAGTTCTTTGGCATCCAGCGAGGAGGAACTGTTGGAGTACAGGAGATTGGTCTCCCGGTAGGTGACCAGTCCCCAGTTCTCCATGGCACCGCTCTCGAAGTCGGGCATGGCGATCTGGTCGATTTTCGGAAGCGGGAACCTAATCCCAAATAACTCTTCGTAGTATTGGAGCACCTTGGGTCCAAACTCTGCCGCATAATCACACTGATCGATGGCATTGGGTCGGGCCCAAGTGCGGAAGTGAACTCCATTGGGTAGGATTGAGGGTTTGTAGTAGAAATCATTAATGGAATAGGCCACCAGGTAAGTGGACATGGGCACTGATTCCTGGAATTCGGTCCACACGTAGTTTAGGATCAATTCACTGCAAGGGAAGAGGGATGTTTAGTAAAAAAAATATTTAAAAGCTGAATAACCTACTGGGGTTGCGATTCCTTCACCGGCATATTGCTGAGACTTGTGTATTTTTGGTGGTGTCCCAAAGTCACCAGGAAGGAGGCCTTGTAGCTGGGTTCGTCGAAGCAGGGAAAGGCCAAGCGTGCTGAAGCTGGCTCAAACTGCGTCATGGTGATCCATCTAAAACGAAAACAACACGAAAACGTCAGCTAGCCGTATAATTTTCTGTTCCGTGGCCAGTTTGTCACCTCGTCTCATTAGCCTCGGGATCGGGGTACGAACTGCGATAGTAACCGACCAACTTTCGATTTACTTCGGCGGAAAACGAAAGAGTCAGCTCATAGTAATTCTCGAGCACCAATTCTTGACACGTATTCAGTATATAATAGTCGTGGGTGGGATTCACCTCCGTGGAGGACACACAGATATCCTGCTTTTCCTCGCCGTTGAGCTCGGTGAGAATTGTCTGCGACTCATCAATGGTTAGGCCCTTGGAGTGGAGCGTTATGTTATTCGTGTTTTCCAGGATTTCAAGAAGGATTTTCACAGTCCCGGAGAACGTAAGGGCCTTGGGACCATCTAAATGAGTGAGGATGCTCAGGTGATACTTCTGGGGCCGAATAGCGGTAGGTAGGCGGTAGTGGTCATAGCTGGAGGAGGCCAGCCCCAGTCCAAGGGATGCCACAAAAAATATAAGCCACTTCATGGAAGACTCTGAAGAGGAATGGGAAAAACTCTATACTTTAAGTAAACATTTAAAATTAACTGAATTAGTTCAATAAATTATTCACAGTAGATATTGCCTAAAGGATAAATGTTGTATAAAAAAAAAAAATAGGAAATCAGGAAGTAAAGTTTTCATTTACTACAAAATCATTAAAAATCCTTATCATTTTCAAGCCAATCGAAATACATAATCTCTCTGAACTTGTGAACTGTAAACACAAAATGAGTTGTTTCTACTTAGGTAATTAATAAAAAGCTAAATGTATATATTTACGGTGAGTAATCAGCACTCAAACAATGACCTGTTTTGCTCGAAATGTAAATAAACAAGCCAAAGGAATCGAATTATATTGAAATTCCAATCAAGAGTTCAATGTTCACTACGGAAATTAAGAAGTTGATTTCTTTATTTTTTTATTGCTGCTTTAGTATTCACTGTAGCCAATAATTACAATTTGTTCTCACCAGAACCAGAACCTTGACAAATTATTATGACATATTCCAGACGTCGGGCTTTATGTTTATGGGGGCTTTCACTTGGATTTCACTTGATTTGCATACCTTTTTAAGGGTTCTTGGCACTTACACTTCTGGAAGGGAAGCAAAAAACCGAATAAAACGATTTCCGCAATCAACAAATAGCACTAATGAACTCGCCGGAGGACGGCGACCGAATGCAGCTTTAAAAACAAGTGTAAAGACTTTTACGTTTCGATTTCAAAAAGAGGAAAGGTATAAAAACTAGCTAGAAAAACTGAAAGATTACAAGCTTTAGCAGCCAAACAATAAACTCAAAACTTGGGTGATCCAAATAGTTGATGGAAAACAATGATAGAATTTTCTTTACCCCACCAGCTCTTTAAATTTAAATACTTTTCCAAAAGCTTTTTAAAAATAAAACATTATTTCTGTTGACACAGACGAATAATACTAAGAGTGTATTAAATATTTTATTTAAGGGACTTTAAATATTCATAATATTCCTGCTGCTGAAATTCCTTGGAGAGATTCCTTTTTTAAATGAGCTGATGAGAGTCTAAGTGCTGGACAATCTAAAGGAGTTGCTGGATAGAGCGGGACATCTGGTGGTAGTTGCGCTCCTTCCACTGCACATTGGTGAGCATTATCTCGAGGCTCTGCTGGATGGCCTGCTCCAGGCCCATGAGCGACTGCCGGGAGTTGTTCACAAAGTCCTTGAACTCATTGAAGTCGGTCTGGGTGATGACCTGTTCCGAAAGCGGCGACAGGAGACGGGACATGTCCTTGGTGAGGGGATGGTAGCTGAAAAAAGAGGAGATAAGAAGAAGATGTCAGTAAGGAATAATGAACAGGGTGGAGAGATTGAACAGAATGAACAGAAGACAGACTGAACAGAATGAACAAAACAAACCAAAATTAAGAAATTTATTAACAAATAAATACTCACAACTTGTAGATAAACTCCACGTTGTCCATAAAGTACTTCTTGGCCAGCAGGAAGCCCACCTCGTTGAAGGCCACCGCCTGGAAGGCCCACATCGAGTCCTGCTTGCGTATGGCCTCCTTGGGGTCGAAGGTCAGCTCCAGGTAGCGCTGCAGCACCCAGACCTCTCGTGAGCAACCCAAAGCGGTCAGGATGGTCCTCTTCTCGGCGGCCACATTGGACTTCTTGTACCGCGTCCATAAGAACTCCCAGTCGGCATCCGATCCGTGCCTGATGGCGGTGCAATAAACAGTGCTGCGCACATTGATGGGCACCGGATTCTTCTCGTCGGGATTCGGCTCCGCCTGCCACTTGCGGTAGTACTCCACTGCCCGTGGCACACAGTCATCCACTTGGTACTGACACGCCCAGTTCACCACCATGGTCTTGAGCAGGACCTGATCCTGCTGCTGAATGGAGCTGAAGGTGTCGTTGATGCCGTTCAGGTGCTCGTAGATCGGCGCAATAAGCTTCTTCATGTAGCGCTGTTTTCGGGGTTCGAACGGGGAAATATTTGTTACTATTATTTGATCAATAAAATATATTTTTGTGGACTCTATAAAGATTTTAATCTCAGACTTACGACAAAGAACAACTTTTCGTTCGCGAGTGTTTACGAGTGGATGTTAGGTGTGAGCAATTTTGAAAGTTTTTCGTTTCGAAATACAAATGGAGAATGGGGTTACGCCAGGGCACAGATAAATCCCTCAGATACGGATACCAAAAAACCCAGAGCTTACCTTAAAGAACTCAAAGTCGGGCGTCTGTCGGACAATGCGGCCCACGCGCTTCAGATTCTCAAAGGCCGACTTCCAAGGGAGATACTCCCTCTCCCGCTGCAGGTACTCGATCAGCCGCATGGCAATCTCGTAGTCCTGCTCCCCGGTCCAGGCCAGGTACAGGGCATCATCGATCAGCTGCGCCCGGTTGATCACATGGATGCGCTCGAAGTCGCCGCCGGTCAGGGTCTCTATGAGGAGCTTCCAGTTTTGGGCATCGTAGTTCACCTTGTACAGCGTCGACAGCTGGGTGTTGAAGATCACCCACTGGTCGGCTCCTGGCAGGTCCTTGATGGTCTTGGGCAGACTCTGGCCCTCCTTGCCGCACTCCATCCAGGCCTTGGGCGCCGTATTGTTGAAGTCCTGCTCGGCCTGGGTGGTGTAGCTTAGAGGCACCCACCAGCAGCCTCCGCGATGGGCACGGGCGATCTCCGTGTTGAGGAGATAACGCTGCTGGCTCAGCTTGGCTGTCTTGGCAGAGTAGTCGCGGGTCACATTGATCACGGGGTAGCTAGAGGAAAAGGATACAACTCTAGTAAAGTCTTAAAAGAATAAAAATAACCCCCAGACTCACCCCGTTTGCAGTGTCCACGAGTCCATGATGCTCTTAATGTCATAGCTCTTGGGCAAGGCGCGATACTTGTGCGCCGCCTGGGTCAGCGACTCCCAGAGGTTGTCCTGCTCTGCATTCTTGTAGGAGTACTTTTGCAAATACGACTGCAGGCCGGAGCGGAAAGACTCCTCGCCCAAGAAGAGATGCATCATGCGCAGCACCGTGGAACCCTTCTGGTAAGAAATCTGATCAAAGCTCTCGGAGATCTCCGACACCATCTGAATGGGTCGCGAGATGGGATGGCTGCTCTCCAAGGCGTCTCTGCGGAAAATGGTCAGCAGATTTGACAGCGACTCTTGCTCCATGGCCCGCCACTCTGGGTTGATGTTCTCCACTCCCAAACTAGCCACATAAGTGGCAAATCCCTCGTTGAGCCACAGATCCGTCCACCACTTCATGGTCACCAGATTGCCGAACCACTGGTGGGCCAACTCATGGGCCACCACACTGGCCACGCGCTGCTTGTCCGCCAGCGAGGAGTGTGCCGCCGAGTAGAGCAAAGCAATTTCCCTGTAGGTCACCAGACCCCAGTTCTCCATGGCTCCGGCACTAAAGTCAGGAATGGCAATCTGGTCAATCTTGGGCAGCGGGAACTTGATGCCAAAGAACTCTTCGTAATATTGGAGGACTTTGGGTCCAAACTCTGCGGCATAATCACACTGATCGATGGCATTGGGACGGGCCCAGGTGCGGAAGAGAGCTCCATTGGGCAGAGTAGAGGGTTTGTGAGCAAAGTCATTGACGGAGTAGGCAATGAGGTAAGTAGACATGGGCACTGACTCCTGGAATTCAGTCCACACATAATCCTGAAGGGATTCACTGCAAGGGAGGAGGGTTTTTCAGTAAGGAAACTTATTTATAAGTCTAGAAAACCCACTGTGGCTTTGTCTCCTTCACTGGCATGTTGCTGAGACCCGTGTACTTTTTGTGGTAACCCAAGGTGACCACAAAGGGCGCCTTGAAGTCGGGCTCATCGAAGCAGGGAAAGGCCAGGCGAGCTGAAGCAGGCTCAAACTGGGTGACTGAGATCCATCTTTAAGAAGTAAATAACAAATTAGTCTGGTGACTTTCTACACAAATTACTAAACCCAAAACCCACTTGGTTTTGTTGGCCACCGGGTCCTTGTAGGAGCTGCGATAGTAACCCTCCAGCTGTCGATTCAAATCGGCGGCAAAGGGCAGGAACAGCTCGTACACATTCCCGGCAATCAGCTCCTGACAAGTGTTGAGGATGTAAAAGTCATGGCTGGGATTCACCGACGTGGAGGACACACAGTTATCCTTCTTATCACCACCGCTGACATGACTCAGAGTGATCCTGGACTCGTCGATGGTCAGATTCTTGGAGTGCAGCGTTATGTTCTTAGAGTTCTCCAGGGCCTCGATGAGGATCTTCACGCTGCCGGTAAACCGAAGATCCTCGGGATTCTCCAGCTGAGTGAAAACGCGCAGGTGATACTTTTGCGGACGCAACGACGTGGGCAGGCGGTAGTAGTTATAGCCGGATTCGAACTGGATTCCAGACTCGGATGATTCGTCGGAATCCGACTGGGAATCGGTGGAGGCCGCGGCTAGGCCCAGGCCAAGGGCCACCACGAACAAGAGAAACCACTTCATGGGGGATTCTGGGGAAGAGGGAAGTGGAAATTAAGTTAAGTTGTTTTTTGAGGGGTGTTCAAGCGCAGCAAACCGAAGCAATTAACTAAATCACTTTGGCAAATCGTGTACAGTGGACACCACTTAGCAGGGACACTGGACAAGAATAGGGAATTTATTAAATATTTTATTTTATATTTAAGTTGTATTTTATTTAATGATTTTAATATCTTGAAAATATATTATCCACATTTATATTTTATTTTTATTTATATATATTAATATATGTATTAGTTATAATACATTTTTCTTAGCCGTCATTCTTAACCCGCATTTACTGTTTGCATAAAATCACACTTTTTACTGTACTTTTTGCGGTTTCGCTGATTTACTTCAAATTAATGCAAATTGTTTTTATTTATTATGTTTACTTTGCCACTGTTTTCTTTATTTTCAATTAATGCAAATTGTTTTTATGTTTTCTTTGCCATTGTTTAGTTTTTTTCAACTCGAAATGCCGAGCACGTATTAAGGTCTGGGCCAATGAAACCCAAAGAGGAGACTCCACTCCTCCTCACATTATGTGGAGTCTACGTGGTTTACCTGACTTGTATTTAATTTATATTTATAAACTGTTTTTAAATGAGAGATTTATTTATTTACTATTGAAAATTGTAAGTTATATACCTTTTTAGTTCATTTTCAAGACTTTGATTAAATGATTTTAAATAAATAAAACGAGATCACTGAAAGGGTAGTTTTGAAGGTCTCTAACTCCTTTTTAATAAAATAAATATTAATAAACTTAAATTCTAATTAAATCTGCATAAGTTCACTTGAGATTACAATTTAATACTGATTTTGGTGTACTTTTTATTTTGTTTGATTTGCCTTTTCCTTGTTCTTTGATTATTTACAGCTACAGTATCCTAAGCACAGTGGGCTTAGTGGCTAATATTTTAAGATAAAATACAGTGTGCAATACAAATTAATTTCAGAATAATAAGTGATAATAATGTCGCTATAATATATCAATAAAAAATAAAAATAATCACTTAATAAGGCATTTCTGTTTTCTATTTATTTTAACTGAGTTATTCTCTGAATTAATTTTTTACAGCAAGTTATAAATTATATTTCAGTTTGTAAATCATTCAACACTATTATTTAGAATTTAATTTGTTTGTTTTTATAGTTGTAAACTTGTTTAATAAATCTCTGAACTGTCAATCATAAATCAACACTTAACAGTTCCCTGCCTTTTGTGTTTTTCTCAAAAATGATTTATTTAGTTTAGCTTTTAATTTATGTTTTGCTTGTCTGGCTTTTAATTAATAGCAATAACTGCTCTGTAAAGAGTAAATTTATAATTTAAATTGAATTTTTAAGGGTTTCTAGGATTTAAATTAATTTCATTTTCATTTTCTATACACTTCTTTGCCCTTTGAAAGGCTTCGAAACTATTAAAATGTGGCTTCTTTTACTGTCATCTTCCTTTTCTCCAGTTCCTAGACCAAGTCTCCTTTCCCAAGAACAAAAGATAAAGCAAACTTGCATACATATTTCTATATATACTGGATAAACCAGATTGCAACGCCCAGCTAGTTTATTTTCTCTGCGCACCTCTCCTTCCTTCTGTCATTCTTAATTATGCAAAAGTTGTTTTAGTTTTTTTTTTTTGGCTTGGGCTTTCCATGTTCTTTGAGTGCATATACATATGTATATAAATTAATACATGTAAATGCGACTGCGGGTCAATGAACCTGAGTGATTAGCATATAGGCATGAAGATAATGTATTGATTTGGGTTAACAAACATTAACTATTCTGGAGGATTTCACCTATAATCACACCTACTTATAAATGATTTACAAATAGTAATATTCATTTTTATTTAATATAATTTTTAATTCGGAAATTAAAGCCGTTCTTTTAATTGTGTAAAAAGTTGTCATCAAAAAGTTAATTCAAAACTTGATAATATATTTTTGTTAATAAATTGATAAATAAGTATTTGGAAACTGTTAAGAAAACTTTCTCTTAATACTAACTTTTCTAAAAACAAATTCTCCATAACAAGAACTATAAAATATACTAAATATTTAACCTACTCACTGTTATTTAATTAACCTTAGTCAATAACTTTTACGTGGTACTTCCCTTGCCGCAATTGTGAAACACGTGCTGGACTTGACATTGACTTATCAATTGAACTATAGATTGCTTTTAACACCTTACAATGGCTGGGGAAATAGGAGCAGTTTCACTGATTAAGGAATAAAATATTCCCATTTATTTAAACATTTTATTTTATTTATTAAACAATACATTTATTTAAGTTAAACAAGGATAAACCAGTGACTTGATTAAAAAAAATTTCTGTAATTACATACTTAAATAAATGATAAGAAAGTTCTATTAAATTTTATAATAATATATATAAATGTTAAGAATGCTCTTTTGAATTTTATGTTTAATTTTATTATTAAAGTTGTTATGTATTATTCATATTTTTATTATTTAATATTATGAGCAGAAAACTTTACTGCTATTAATTTGACCGCATTTGTAAACTAGATGGGTTCTCCGCTAATTGATTTGCCAGCATTTGAAAATGCTAGCCGGTTTTTTATAGTTTACTATAATTACCTTTAAAAACAAACTATTTAAAATAAAAGTCTTAACAATAAAGCGATTTTTCTTAGTTTCTACAAAGGGTTATCTGTAATAAGTTTTAATTGGTGGCTCAAAAATGTTCTTTAAAGGAATCTATTCATTTTAGATACCACAAAGAATTTTGGAGGACATATGTTGCTTCTAATTAAACTTTTTTTTAATGGAATTCTTTGTATTATTTGCTATTAATTTTATTTTCCTTGATAATCTAATTTGTTTATTTCTTAGTGTTTTATTTATATGTTTGTATTCATATGATTTATTAATTTCTTTTGATTAATTTAATATTTTTTAAGTCAGTTTAGATTTTTTTCAGCTAAAACTGGCTTTCTTTTGCTTCTTATTTTTAATTTCTTTTGTCAAATATCTAATTATTTATTGTTGTTTTCAGCTGTTCTGCAGCATGATAATTAAAGCACCGAAAATCAGCACTTTAAACTTGTTTTGTATTCTTAGCACACTTTGGGTAATCACTTTAAACATTTTTTTTGGTGCGTTTTGTCTCGTGATTTCGGGGTTATTCCAATTATTTTTTTTGGGTTTTTTTTGTCAATCTGCTGCTGCACTCGAGGTGCTTGACACACAAAAAATTCTAACAACGAACCGTTTAAGGCGCCACAAAATCCAAACGCTGGAGAACTAGACAAAACGAGGACCGAGTGTGCGACCTGTTCGACGGTCGACGCGAATCTGAAGTTTCCTGAGCGCCGCGCTTTCGTCTTATAGCCCCGCCACCTCACGCACACACCCACACACGCAGAGTTCCACTCGGCGGGGAGAAGAGCTCCCCAGTGAAACGTCAACGGCTTAGAGACCGAATCGCAGCTTTGGCGTCGGCGCAGCGAAAAGGTAGAATCTTTTTTTATTTATTTTTTATTTTTTGCTTGCAGAGAGCAGCGTAAAAATAAAAAGTAGAAAAGGGAAAACAAAGAAGGAAGCTAGACAAAGCTATAAGACACTTTGATACCCTTGAAATCTAAAAAATATTGTAAAGCAGGGATGCCTTGGCTGCGACCTCAGGGTTATGAAAGCTGAAATGGATATGTGTGCATATAAAGGATAAAAAAGTCAGATATAATATCTTATCAATAACATTTTTATCTTAGATATATCGACATTTAAAATATGCAAATGATTTTTACTTTAAAATATAGATATTATCGAAAAATGTTATTAAATATCGATAATATCGATAATTCAAAATAATTTTGATTTTTAAGAATATTGATATTATCGAAAAATGCTATTTCATTTTAAAAATATGGATATCGCTCAAATATCGCTCCAGTATCCACATATTGACAATTTCTGTCATCCCTTATTTATAGTAACCTTTAAAAGGGTATAAAAAATAGCACATGTGTGACCCATACACACACTTAGACACAGACACACGGCGGGAGATTGCAATGAAATAATGGCAGGGCTTACCCGGCGTATGCGCAATTTTGATTCACACTGCACACACACACACACGCATACAGCGGTAGATGTCACTACGTGTTTTTGACCTTAATTGCGCTGATTAACCCATTTCTTTCTATCTCGTATGCCAGCAGCTACTTGAGCCACACTCGACCCTAGAGTTCACCACCCAAAAAAAACAACCCAAAACCTCCTTTTTTTCTTGAGGCGACCCCCCATGGCGGCTGCTCCAGAGATAAGAGGATACGAAAACACAAACACGGTCGGAAAAGAAGGCAAAAAAAGGGGCAAAAAGCTAACCAAAACAAACCGATTGTGCAGACAGACACACAGCACACAGCATGCTGGCTTGCACACAGGGGGCACTTGGGGGTTAACCCTTTGGGTATTTTTATGTTTTTGATGGCGCCAACTTGAGGGAGCTTTAAAAATAAGGTGCTCAATTCTATGGAATTTAATTAACACTTGGGAAAGAAGAAAAGGAATCGGTACTGGATTTCAGAAATGAAATGTTTTATTATCACTTTTTGTTAAGTGATTTTTCTGTTACGGTTTTAAATATACGAATATACATATAAGATTGGCTATTAACTTTCACTACTTTTAATCATTATAATTATGTTTATTTGGTAAGAATCTTTAATTCCCAAATAAAAAGTAAAATTTCCCTTATAAGGCAAATATTTTATTATTATTTTGGAAAGCACTGTTGATTGTAAAGACAAACTTTATAAGAAAAGCATTTAAATTGCTTTAAAAAAATATAAATATATATAAAATTTAAATATTTGAAATATATTTATATGTATATAATTAATAATTAATTTTTTTAAGATTTTTAGACAGCATTCCATGGGTTAACTTGGCATGAAAGTATATATATATAATTCATGACAAGGGACTCGCTCTGCCGTTTTGGCTAATTGCCGCAAACCGCGCACTCTTGGCTCTTATCCGAACTTTGTTATTTTTTTTGGGATTAAGTGCTCTGCTCTAATAGTTTTAGGGAAGGAGGGGAAGTGAAAGCCAAAGTGTAATCGAATATAAACAATAACAAAAAACTAATCTTCTTACGCGTAAACTGATTAACAAAAAGAGAAGAAAAGGTTGGATTATAAGGCTCCTATTTCAAAGATATGCTGGACTTAGAGGGAAAGTTTTGATGCTTTGAATGTAAGAAAACTTACGAGAATATGTACACTGTTTAAATTAGGTATGTTAAAATGCTTAATTTTATTAAGGATTGATTTATTTACTGATTTCTCAGTCAGGTTTAAATTTCAAACTTTGAATTAGCATTTTGTTTATATCTAGTAATCAAAAATAACTAAATTTATAAATATTTGTCAGAAAAAGTTATTAAATAAGTTAGTAAATGCACTAAAATGTATCTTAATTTAATCACCAAAATTTTCAAATTTAAATTCACCAATTCCACCACACTATAACTGCTGCAGCGCCCTCTAGCGTAAATCAAGGAAAGAGAATAATCTTTCTTACTACAGCAGCGCCTTCTAGCGTGTACCAGTGCAAGCAACGTTTTTGCTGGAATTATCGAAACTATCGATTTTCCGCGCCAAATTCAAAGAGGGAAAATTCCAAGAATATCAAGTATACATTTCCCGCTCTTTTAAGGCTTTTTTCCACTGAAAAAGATAAGTAAGTAAAAGCCAGTGTGTTTCAGTTCTGTATTAATTATTTATATTTTAAAATTTATGGTTTCTTTGTTCAATAATATTGCCTTTTCTTTTTGATGCAAAAATAAGCTTTGCTTAAATAATAATAAATCATTACATAGTAAAAGATTTGTTTTTTTTTTGTGTTTTTGTTTTTGTTTTAGTTTAGAATTTTTTGTTTACGGATTACATAAAAAATAAACAAATAATAAGCGTAAAAATTGGTACCTAGCTAGAAGTTTTTAACTCTTGCAACTCTTAAGTAATTTCCTTAAAAAAAATAGAATGAATTTGTGTGTTTGTTGTGCGATATTTTGTAGCCATTTTCTGTATATCCTGCTTATCATCTAAGTGAAATGATCAAGGAGTCTGTCTGTAGTAAACATATTATAGCTCTTAATTTTATAAAGATTTCGATTTCGTTTAGATTATAATGCACATTTTCTCGTTTTAAAATTTGAACTAAAAGTGCTAAGAAATAAATTGAACTAAAGCCGAATTTCCATACATTAAAAACAAATAAAAACTAAATGAAATTCTCTCGAGTGTCATGTGTGTGGTTGTTGCCAGATTATGAGTGTGTGTGTGTGTGTATGATAACGATTTTTAACAAATGAAAATCAACAAAAAACCAACTTAAAAAATGCATTGCTCGCGGAAAATAAATACAACTAAGCGTCTAGAGTTATATACAATACGATAACACCCCACCAAATCCCCCAGGGACTCCCTTACAGCATCAGCCTGGACCGCGACTTCTTGAGACGCCCCGTGGCTCCGCCCAGGCCATCGCCATTCCACGACTTGGACTTGGCACGGAAGTGACGGTAGGCCTCGTTGTAGGCGGGATCCAGCATGGTGCGGTAGGCATGGGGCTGGCAGAGATCCACATGCGACTCGAAGAACTCTTTGTAGCCATTGTGGAGCAGGTAGATCTCCGGGTAGTGGAGGGCCGGATAGGCATTGGTATTCCGCTCGCGATCCAAGTTGCGCAGGAAGCGCGACATTTTCGGGCCACGCTCCGACGAGAATTCGCAGTGGAAGATGATGATGTTGCGCTTGTGGCCCGACTCAATGTTCTGCTGCTGCTGCAGCTCAGTCTGTTGGACGGAGAGAAACTCCTCGAGGATTTGGTCGGTGGTGTACAGGTTCTTGGCGCCGGCGATGTGACCGCCCTCGAACTCGTACGGATACCGGCAGTCGATGATCCGATAGCTGGCCACCTGATCGTCAAATTCACCCTGTAGCAGGCGAGCCACCGTTGCGCTGGAGATGCTCTTCAGATCCCGGTGACGTCCCTCCATCAAGGGCAGGGCGTAGGTCTTGCTGAAGTCACCAATCAGTTCGGGTTCGTTGCGGTTCTCGGAGCGAGCCAAGGCGGACATGATCTCGGCATCGTTCAGCGACATGCACTTCCTCAGCGGCGGGGGGTTGCTGCTGGGCAGGATCTGAGCGGGCGGTGCTGGGCAGTTCTCCTTCTCGGTGGCGCAGCGATGACGCTTGCTCTGAATGGGCGAGCAGGTGGCGGATGCCGGGGGATCCGGGCGCTTGAAGCAGTCGCGGGCAGCAGTCTCTGGCGTCTTTGGTGGCTGTAGATGGGCGGGTGGTGTGGCAGTGTTGCTCTCAGTCATGCTGAGACAGCGGCGCACCGAAGGACGACGCATGGAGAGACCCGCCGGTGACCGGGCAACGGTCGATGGCTGCTCCTTGATCTGACCGCTGATCAGCGAGTTCAGGCCGCTGGGAAATCCAAGAACGGCGTTCTGTTGGCTCTGAGACTCCAGCTCGAACATTTCCAGATACTCATCATCCATGGACGACTCCATGGAGCAAGTGGAGGACAGGCTGTTGAAGACTCTGAAGCTGTTGCGGGCGGGTGTGTGCGAGGTGGCCGAAGCGGCAGCTGGCAGAATGTGCTGCTTGCGCACAATCTGGAAGCGCTGTGGCGATCCCTCGGGCGACAGCAGGCCCATCAGCTCGGGACTCGCCGATCGCTGCTGATCCTGTGGCACCACATCGTCGTCGTAGAACGACAGCTCCTCCTGATGGTGATCCATGGCCATCAATTCCAGCGAGCGACGGGCGCGACGGGTGCCGGTCAGCTTGTGGCTATTGGAGTTGCTGCAAGGAGAAGAGAAAATAAGGGGAGGATTAGTCAGCGGTTCCAGAGAGAGCGGCGGCTGCTTCCCTAAACCCCTGGGAGAGCGAGCGGGTCATTAAACCCAGCTAAAAATACAGGCACAGGCTCGGGGCGCAGTGGTAATATTTTTTTTGGTGGTGGCGGCGGCGTTGGTGGTGGTGTAAAGACAACAACAAAAACAATACGAGTCACGAGGGGTTGCTGCTGTAACACAACAACCGAAATTCAACTTGAAACTCTTGTTAAATTTAGACATTGGCTCCTCAAAAACTCTAGTTGATACTTTAATTAGAAAGAAGGCGCTATTTTATTGAAATTAAATTCTTTTGGCTCTCTAAATTCTCCTCAAAAATTCCCCACCAAACATCTGCTACTACCTTTTCACTTGAAAATGTACGGTACTCTAAGCGGAATTCCCTTTTCTTCGTCACTTTCCGTTGCATCTGCTTTTGCAGCTCCGACTTTTGGGTCACACGTCACAACGTCACGCAAGCGCAGTGAATACAAAAAAGGCACAAAGAACCGCAAAGAACTCTCGTTTAAAAAAGGAACCAACAAAAAGAGGAAAATATAAAAAAATGACTGACTGACGAGTTGTTGTTGCTGCTGTTTTTTGGAGCCTCGCGGAAGCCGGTTTAATGAATGAAAAGCAACAACAACAGCTGAGCGCCAAAAAAAGAAGCAAAGAATCAAGCACAAAAGCGTGCAAAAAAACTCTTACTTTTGTTCAGCGATTTGTACTTTACTGTTGTTGTTCTTGAACTTGCACTTTTTATTTCCTCGCCTGTGTTTCTGTATTTTTCTGTTTTAACTGGTATTCCTGATGCAAAAAGTAGTGGGTTTTAATCCTTGGGGCGGGATAATTACCTGATATTGCAATCCATACTGCAGTTGGTTTCTTCCTGGATGGTTTCCCACAACATTTTGGTTGGTTTTTGTGTTTGGAGTTTCGAAAAACTGATTTCAAATTGAATTTCTCTGGCGAGTCTTCTTAGTTGCTTTACGAAAAATTGCTAAAACACAATTTTTTCGTCTCACTATTTCACTTTTGCTGCATTTAAAGTTGGTTTTTCGTTGGTATTTTTGGCTGTTAGTCCTTTTAGAATTTTAATTGTTGCTAATATTGCATTTTTGTCGGTTTTGTTTGTTTCAGTTTAATGTGTCCGTTTCAGCATGTTTCATAAATTTTCAATTTCTGTTCAATTTTTAGCACGCACCAGTCACCGAACGAACCGAAAGGCAAGTAGCGCAGCTGACGAGCTGTTTACTGGAGAACGAAGAGAGCGAGAATGTGTGCTCTTCGGTCTGTGCGGCCCGCTTTTATAAGCGATCGCCGGCGCAGAGAGCGCGAGAGCAATGCAGCTCGGAGAGTGCGGAGCGAGCGGGAAAGAGCGCACAGCTGATGGGCGAGAGCGAGTGCGACTAAATTAGTTAGTGTTTTGTTGTTGCAGGGCGGGCGCCTTTTCTTCAGTTCCTTTGATTCCCAGGAAATACTGAGGGAGACGGGAGATGATGAGAGGGAGAAGTAGAACCGAGCACATAACGGATCAGGGGAACCATGTGCTAAAGGCAGTACACAATGTTGAGGAAAATTGGAAAATTGCCTTTAAATAAGGAATCTGTGCCCTGTGGAGCGTTCACTGCAACAGGTAGCCCCGAATATCCTTCCCCTACATTTCCCCTGCGTGCCAGACGAGTATCCCGAGAAGAGGAGGACAAGATTCATTGGCGACTGGCGACGATCCCCACAATGGAGTCCACTGATTTTGGCGCGCGAGCTTTTATACCCCAACGCCTGGCCAACCAGTGCCGAAGTGGAGCCGAGCGCCGCCAGAAGTGGAGCCGAAGATACACGGGCTTGTATGTGTGTGATTTACAATGCACCGCAATAGTTGGAGCCAGCCGACGGACAGAGAGAACGAGAGGCCGCGAAGCGAAAGGAAGCGGGATGGAATGAGACCGCGAGCGAATCTTTAAGCAGAATTTCAAGGCGGCATCGATTGTGTCGTTTGCAGGTAATAATGTGAGATCCACGCATTCCTGCAGCCCCCCGCCAGCCCCCTCATGGAATATCAGCAGGTAGTGGTCATATGATCATCGGCTGTGGAGCAAAAACAAGAGGAGGGAACGAAGGGGCGGGAGAGGGAGGCATGTCTCCTTTGTGTTTTGCAGACGTAGACGCCAATGTCGTTAAATGAGCAAAGCCTCGTCCAGATCCGCAGACCCCATTTACAGTGGGCACCAACTTGAGCGAACAGCATGGACAATTTGGATTACACAGAGGAATTTTGGAACCTTATAGGAGAACGCCTGTATCATTGTGTGTGTTTTTTCTTTTGTGCAATCCGCGGCAAAGTTAAAGCAGAAATCGAGTTACAGATGCGCGGAGGAGCCCTGCGGGAGTCACTTTGCAGGATAAGCGGGCTTTTCGCAAAGGGGGCCGGGCAGGGGCTACTGCCCTGAACGAACACCCATGGGCTGGAGTGGAGTGTGTGTTTTTGTAAAGTCTGTGTGTGCCGGCAAACACAAACAAAGCACAGACGACGAGCACACACGCCCAGCATCATTCGCTTTCCCGCTCAAAACTTTGCCCAATAGTGAATGATATTCGGGGATAATTGCCGGCAAAGGCAACCAAATGAGCTACGGTTTCATTCCGCTGAATTCCTTTTCGTGAGGAGAGCTTTTGTTGTTGTGGATTTTTTGTTGTGCCGCAGGAAGAACCGATGAGAGGATCATCTTCTTTATGGAAAACAACAAGCAGGGCCAGCCAAGAACAACAAGAAAAAGGACGCAGAAATCATAAAGTGGTTTTGAACAAGTTAAAAAAGCGCATAGGGGTAAAGAAAGAAAAAGCTCAAGCCCAAAAAACCCCATTCATAGCGAGCGGTGCGGCCAACAGCGGGTTAAGGTATGATGTTCCAAGGAGAAATACCAAGGTATGCCACTTTATCTTATGATTTGTATTTGTAGTATCCAAAAAAGTTTAATTGAACCGGAAGTCTCATTCATATTTCAATTTTTTAATTTTAATATTTGAAGTCCTGATAAAATGAAATCAGTTTTATATTAATTTCAAGTACTTAATATTCCCTCGAAACCATTAATAAATCATGAAAATGTCACCATCTCATTTTATGTTTTATTGATTCGAATTGCTTTATCTGCAATTATATTTTTTGGAATTATTTCAGATTCCACCGTGTTATTTATCGCAGTCTCCAGAATTTCCGACGAGGACGGGAAAAGGGCAAAGGCGAAAAGAGTTAAAAACGTATGCAAAAAAGCCTCACTAACACATCACACACCACGGTCCGCGAGTGTGTGTTTGTGGGAAAACACATGTGTGTGGGTAGCCCTGATTGCGCCAAGCTAAAAAAACCGAGAATATGAATAGGCTGCAGAGAGAGAAATTGCAGCAACAATGTGAATGGGAGTGGAGCACAACAATAGCGGAAAGGGGAAGGCAGCGAAAAAAATCAACAACAAAAAAGTGAAGAACTAAATTGTAAATCGAAATTCCAAGAAGTGAGCTTTTTGGTATGTGTGCGAAAAAAGAGCGTTTGAGATACTTTTGCGCGCGCGCGCGTATTTTGCAAATCACGGATAAAGGGGTGGCGGCGATCATGGGGAGGAAAAAGGGTTAAAGACTGGGCGGTCCTGGTCCTCGCTTTGTGGTCGTGTGTGTGTTTGTGGCAGACAAGGCAATGCAATTAGAAGAAGGCGCAAAGAGGAGCCAGCAATTGGTGGTCTCTAGGTGAGTAATTGCCCATTTTTTTTTGTATCTCTAACATGAAAAAACTGTGCGTGCTTTTAAATACCATTACTAAGAACTATTTATTATTTCAGATTATCCTGAAAACGAGATCAAGTGAAAACCTATCCAATCTCTACAAAAATCAATTAAATATCGGGTAAGTGTCTTATTTAATTTTCTCTATTTTATTTTATTTTGTATCTCTGTGGTATTAGCTCCCCCTTTTCTGTATAAAAACTTGATTTAATCAATAATTATTAATTATTTCCAATGTCACCCATACTCCTTCCCCCACAAACCAAATGCTCAGGGGTAGCGGGGAAGGAAGAAAAAGAATAAGGATAAGGGGAAATCACGTAGTACATAAGGTGTGAAGAGATGAGCGGAGCAGAGCAGGACACGAAAAAGATACTGATTAGAACAAATAAGGAAACCAAAAACAAAAAATAACAGTTAGACAAGGATAGCGGTTCCCGAGGCCCTCTCTCTGGCCACCACAGCCGCAGTACATATGTTCGATCAGCTGACCGAAGGATATGAACAGCCAAGGAACCGCATTAGTCCTGCTGAGCGCATGCGTCTGTGTGTGTAGAGAGGGGACAAGGCGACGAAGGAGCAGGAGCAACGTGCGCGCGCAAATTCCTTAACACGAGCAGAGCCACAGAGGGAGAGAGTACGAGCGAGGGGGTGGGGGCAGGAGGCAGGAGGCACGGCGCTGAGATTTCTCAAGGAGCAGCAGTGAGAGAGTGAGAAGTGCATCGCAGGCGGAGAAGAAGTAGGTGAAGAGCAGGGCCACCGAAAGAGAGTGCAAAGCAGGAATAGCCGTAGATTTTTTGCGCCAAAAACCGTATCCTTGTGTGCGTGCAGGACTCGTTTGGGCCAGACAGAGAGGGGGCGAGGTTCGTATTCGATCTGTCTTCTGTTTACCTTTCGCTGCCTTCTTCGCTGTGATTTCTTGCACTCTGGCTGTCTTTTTGCCTTCTCTCCTCGCGTTGGTTTTCTACAAAACCGATTGTGAGAAATATTGTATCTTCGTTACTTTGACCCCCAACTCCCCCCACTTCGCGTCTCCCCTTTGTGGTCTTTTGCCTCCACTAATTGATTCTCTGCATAAATTTTATTTAAAGCTTTAATAAATGTCAAAATAAGCAATTCATTTCGATGTTAGAGCACGCACACTCATATATACTATATACCCACGGTCCGCCGTAAATGAAGCTCTCTCTTTTTGGGACAGAATCAATTATTGCCGGGTTCAGAGTTTAAATTGTGCGGGAAAGCTGTGTGGAAAAGGGGGAAAATAAATTGTCCACTCAAATTTGTAAGAGAGGGGATCTGGGTGATACAGGAATCATACGGGGGATACAGGAAGTTACCTTCCACTGAAGTTTATTCATCTTTGTAAAGATCATACATAGTTAGGAACTCACTGAGATCCTTGGGATAAGGAAGAAAAATGTACAAAATAGCATTTTAATTCCCTATTTTTATTCGGAGATTTTTAAGCATACCAAATCATGTAATCTAATTTTAAAATATCAGTAAAGAACTAAATTATACCTGGAACCCAATCTTCATTTCTGGTACTCTCAGGGGATATGGTTGAGTTTGAAAAAAAAGACCTCTGCTGTTAAGGAAATTCTCCCATTTGGGGACTGGTACCCCGATAAGCTGGGTTCAAGCTCCTCTCTCCCTCTCTTGGCACCCCAAGTCTCCAACTCTGTTGCAGCTCATTTGTTTGTTTGTTTGTTTGTTTGACTGAGCTCTATGCAAATGTTGTTTTTTATTTCTTTTTTATGGCATTGTTGAAGAATGATATGGCACTGGTATCTGGACTATACAGCAGCCTCAGGAAGTACTAATCAACGTTATATTCCCTCAGTGACTACTCTTTGTTCCTCTCTCTCTATCTCAACTTATAGCAACGGAACAACAAAAGTTTGTTTTATTTTCTTAAGGGGGGCCAGGCGGGGTGTTCCGTATTCCATATGTAGATCAACATTATGTCGGTTCGCTCTCTAATAGGCGAACAATGTTCTTGACACGCTTAGATATGGCATGTGGAGTCGAATGCCCTTTAAGAGAGTGCTAGACTTGATATAAGGAGTTAAATAAATCTGTGTATTGTTAATAAATAATATATCAACATTTACATTAAATAGTAATAAATATCAGCTTATAAAGGGTCCCAAACTGTATTATAAGGGATCTCATTAAGATGTAAAATATTCTTTAGGCCTTTATATTATTATCATTTATTAATGAAAAAATATTGGTATAATAAACTACAACCTAGAGTATTTCCCTCTTCGATCTCCTTAGAAAAAACCCCCACATTTATGTTTATTTAAATATTTTTATGAGTTTCGCGCAATTCAATTCGATTTTGATATGCCTGTCGCCCCCATATCGGGGTTTCCAGGCCATTTTCAGTTCACAGTGTGTTCAGAGATTAGATTTGAATTCGAAATAGGTTCGGTATAGGATCAACATCATCATCTGCGTGCCAGATTGCAGCCAGTCGAGGCATTGAGAACGAGACCCCATCAAAGAGCACACGCTGAGGGCCACTTGAGATTCCCATGGTAACTCCAATGCGATCCAGATTTTTCCCATGGCACCCCCTGGAACTACCATATTGGCAAACACAATTAGTTTGTGTTTTACTGGCAATTTTCTCTATAATTTGAATAGTAGCTGCGGCCGTTCCTTTGTCCTAACGGTCAAGTGGTTGCTCATTTCATCTAGGCCAGGCCAGGATAGCACAGGACTCTCTTCCCGGCACATGTCTAGGTTTTCTGCACTGTTTTGTTTCTTCGCCAAAAAGCAATTTGGGTCACAATGTGTAGGCAACAAGGCACACAACTAAAACAAGTGCTACTATTCATTGTAATAGAAACAGTTCCCTGATCTCCTTGCCGTCCGTCAACGTGTCCTTTTGTCCCGTCAGAGTACAGTGCAGGCAGTGCAAAAATATATATTGTTTTTCTTATGCCACTGCAATCCGAGCAATTTGGTTCCCACACAGCAGGCACATTTGTGGGATCTCAGATCAGTCCTTCTTTCGGTTTTTTACGATCGGTCTGACTTCTCAAGTGGTCTTCGGCTTTTTGGCGCGCAAATCCTTGAAATGCGTGTATGTGTCCCAGATATATTGTACATATAGGGGTTTCCAAATATAGCTTGTCGCCAAGCGGCGAGATAAGAGATTTGTATAAATTATGATTAGCCTTGAGGGAGATGGAGAAGGGAGAGAATGATGCAATCTATACATGTGTGTTATCGTCCGGATGATAAAATCATGGGTCTTTTAAGGGAATTTATGGTAATTAATGGGTGTATTTCAAGAGAATTTAGTCATGGGCTTTATGAATTAAGTTTCATTTTATCACAAAATGAATTTAGTTCACAATTTGTTATTAAAACTCTGAAATTCTTTATCTTTATAATAAATTCTGAAAAGTAATCTACTCTTTCCTCAAAATCTCTTAAAATCCATTTTCTGGTTATGCTTAATTTAAAATTCAACATCTCCATATGATTTTAATTCCTTGACTTCCGGAATCCCTAGCTAAAACAACAAACCCCCTTCTATGATCTATTGCTCACCCCTTTGATGATGATGATGATGATGGTCAATATTTTATTTGTATATTAATATCAGACACGCGACTGGCCCACGAACTGACCACTGGTCAAGAGCTAATTTCCCCAGTGCCAGTCCAATTTCTATAGATAGCCTGGGGAAATGTCGGAAATAAATCAAGAAACGGATAGCAACGGCAACCCTTGGCGAATCCTTTCTTCTCACAGCGTGTAATTAATTGATTAACGTTCTTAGGGATAACATTCATTGCCCCGGGATTGAGCGTCGATCTTATCGCGTTACAAAAACCCGAAACTCAACCCTTTCGGCCTGACCAGATCCGGGATATATGGGATGAGGGAGGGTTCGCTTTTGGCGCGGCTGGTTGGGTCCACTCTAGATCATCTTGGCGTTTGCCTAATGCGCAGCGGTTCTTGGAAAACCTTGGACTTTTGACAAATTCCCCATGACAACATGACAAGGAATCATCATCATCATCTTAGCGGGGATAAGAGATCCTGGTCCAGTGATTTTTCACTGTCTCTCACAGTACATTAGATGGCATCGATGGTTGCGTAATCAGAAGGCAAAGAAAGCGGCAGCTGCACCCATTTCGCACCATTTCCATTCCCAGACGGGATGTTAGGTCCTGGAACAACAGGAAGGGCCAGGGAAGCCCAGCCAAGGACAGCAGGAAAAAAGCAGGGGAGCAAGTCTTGCCAGCCAATTGCATTGTTTTACTAACAACATCAAAGTTATGACAAGATTTTGTCTATCATCCTACCCCAGCCCCAGGAAAATGTTCACAAGGCGCAAGGAGGAAGGAGGAAGGAGGGTTCAGCGATCGACGAACTGTCTGCGAGTCCTTTTTGGGTGACTGACAGCAGCGCCTCTTCCTCCTCACAACTCTCACCTTGGGAGATGTGCATTACGATTCGAATTTCCAAAATTTAATCGCATATACAAATTTTATTTATGTGACATGGGTGCATATATAGTATATTTTCACCCCCGGGAAAACTTGAAGATCCCAAGATCGGCAAATGGTCCATGTCAATTTGCAATTG